ATTGCGACTGCCAGATCCGGTGTTGGAACACCAGGAAGAAGAAAGAGAACAGAGGGATAAAAAGGAAAAAAGGAGAACCGAAAGAAAAGAAAGATTTTCCTCCAAGCTGAGAGATATCAGAAAATGGGTTTATTTTGTCCGCCATGTCTTATTGATATCTGTAAAAGCACATTAAACTGCAGATGAGAGTGCTGTGAGCGATCAATACAAACCCCCTGTAGGGACTGTAGAGAGCAGAGCCCATAAGTGGACACCAGGGTGGGTTAGCGACCAAAGCAAAACACCTGGGCAGCACTGTTGCAGGCGGCAGAAAGAACTATATATATATATATATATATATATATATATATATATATATATATATATTTGATATCTGAATGATATCTCCTAAAACTGTGGTGCGTCTCACAGGTTTTGCTTCATTTTTAGCCTCTCACCTGTCAGATATCTAATATTGGCTCAGTGATAGTAATGCTGCCTGCTGGGTAGCTGATAAGAGACTGAGGAATCTGAAGAAACAGCTGGAGCGACTTATTCTGTCACACTTTGATTAAAATTCCTGATAAACAGGAAGCTGTAGTTCATCAAAAGATGACTAGCTTGGTTCTGCCAGCAGGACATCTTCTGATAAGACATCTTTTTCATGCTTTGTACAATTTCTGCTTTCATCTAAATTCCCGACCTTTTTTTTTATCCATTACAAAATGTAAATATGGCTGTAGAAATAAACTGGTGACCATGCAGGGATAAAAACTCTCAGAGTTGCTTCTCTGCTCAGAGATAGAGTTGTTTATGCATTATGTTAGTGTATTAGAATGAATGTTTATGGCATGTGTCAAATGTCAACAGATAAATGCTTCACTAAAATGTGTCTTCACATTCCATTTTTGACACAATACAGCGCACATAACACTGTGTCCTCTTGTTGGAAACTGAATCCAAGAGAGTTATTTACAATACAGAACAAATAACTCCTCTCCTAATTATTGCCATATGCGTCTCATTGGTTAAAGATGAGAGTTAATTTGATGTTATTCAACTTTCTAACATTGCAGCCTTGTTTCTGGTCCTGTGCTCAAGGTGTTTGTGGATTGGTCAGAGTGTAACATCTGCAGCTGCACCAGCACAATGCCATTTCTTTCCTTTTGTTTAAGTCCAAACTAAACAATGTATTGCAGCATGAGTGACCCTTTTTCATTTAGTTATTAAACATTTCCAATCTTTTTTCTCCCAAGGGAATCTACATTTGATAGGAATTGCTCTGGACAATTACAGGAAAGGCTGACGGGGGTGTCGTTCTGTCAATCCCTGAAGCTGGAGAGCAGAAATAAACATAAATAAAACCATAGAAATATAAAGAAGCATTCTCTTGAGAATTGTTGAGAAAAGAAAAAAATCTCTATATTCTGAGAAAAGTTTTCATGAAAAATGGGACTTTTTTTTGGTTTATAAGTCCACACCCAGGGCTGGGAGGACAGCCAAAAAAAGGCACAGATTGAGCACAACTTCCATTGACCTTCCTCCCTCTGCTTCCCCAGCGTAGTACTAGGAGTTGAAAGTCAGGGGCGGAGAGCCCTGCGTGGGCCTGCTGGAGGCTTGTTATGGGATATGAGTTAGGCTCAGTGGGACTGAAAGCCGACCCGGGGCATGGAGAGTGTGCTGGAGGTATCGGAGCTTTTTATTTCATGAAAGCCTTTCACAAAATTAGGAGATAATCACATATTAATTCGGAATAACAGGGCAAATATGTATTCTCAGGTTTTGAGTTTTGAATGAATTAAGTCATTTTGAAGATATACTTTAAACAACTAAAACTCTTAAAGGATGCTGTAGAACTTATTTTTAGGAGTCCTCTCAGGTTCACAGCAGTTGTATCTTGGATGTTGCAACAATGAACCTACTGTGTCTGTAGTTTAAGTCTTGACCTCCGTTCTTGTGAAGCCTCTTCACTCTTCCCCACACTGTTATCTTAGTGAGTTTCTCATCAGTGAACGAACTGAAGGGAATAAAAACAATGTAATCCACACAGATGTTTTCAGGATAAAAAGACAGCATTGTCACTTGGATGAGCTAGGGAGCTGCATGTCCAAGTAAAACAATGTGGGGAAAACACTTTAGGTAATGTTCAGTCACAGGAATCATCTACAGCACACCAGCTGTAAAACCGATTCAGATGTATTTTGACAGAAAGTAAAAGACACTTCACTGATCAACCATATTGTTTGTCCACTGACATCAAAGAAGAAAGACACAAGGTCTTGTGATTTACTGTTGGCGCATACTGCAGGTCTTCAAACTGTGGAGCCAGTTGTGGAGAAGTCATTAACATCATCATTGATCAGGATTATTGCTTTTACTTGAAGACACGAGTCAGGTTAATTACAATTGATCTATGAAGTGGGTTTCAGGGTAAGGGAATTAGTGTCATAAAACATGAAGTAAAGTCATTAAAGTCTTTGTCACACAGGTTCACGTTGTCTGGTCACTGAGCTCATGAGCAAATGTGGCAGAAGGAGGCTCCTTCTGAAACATAAATCTGAACTTAAAGCAGCTATCATCAATATTTTTTTTTTTTTTTGGGCCTTTTAGGCCTTTATTTGACAGAGAGAGAGAGATAGACAGGAAAGGGGGGCAGAGAGAGAGGGGATGACATGCAGCAAAGGGCCACAGGTCGGATTCAAACCTGGACTGCCAGCTCTATCGATTGAGCTAACCGGGGGCCCCTATCAACAATATTTTTATACTGACACTGGACCCCAAAACAACTTTTATTTTTTTAAAAGGTTGTTTTGGAAAAAAAAAAAAAAATTAAAGAAAAAAAAAGTTTTTGTGTGTGTGTGTTTTTTTTTTTTTAAACACAACAAAAATAAAAAACCAAAACAAAACAAAAAATAAAAAAAAAAAAAGGGGGGAAAAAAAAATTTTAAAAATTTCACACACCCACAAAAAAAAAAAAAAAAAAAAAAACAACAAAAAACAACAAAAAAAAAAAAACAACATTAATTTTTTTAAAAACACCCCATTTTCAGACCCAGAAGTTAAATATTTTCAGTGAAAAAGCTAGCTAGATATTTTTTTAAGGAGTTTAGGAGAGCGGGAATATTGCTCGTACATTCAGGTAGCCACAAACATGACTTCACATGAATGATAACATCGCTCTGTATCAACTCAGATGGTGTTTCCATTGCACCCAAGTTGCCAAAAACTCTGTTATTCCAGGTTTAAACATCTGTTTTTGTTAGAAAATGCCTATATGCATAACTTACTGACTTAAATGTTGCTAATCCTTCACCTTATGATAGAAAAACCCGCCAAGCAGTATGAAGAAAAACTCAAACCTTTAATCATTCTCCCTTTATGAGATAAATGTCTTTGACAACAGGAGAGCCAGTTTAGCTGCTTTTCTGCTCTGACTGAAACTAAATCATCAGCTTTTAATCTGAGGTGGTGAAAAGAAGCTGCCAACAACATAGAGAAACTGTAATGGTGTGTATAAAGGCGTGTAGTCCACAGTCTAGTTATCTGACCACACATCGTGAGACTGATTCAACTTGTTATATTTAATCATGTCCAACAGACCACACATTATGCTAGAATTGCATTCATTGATTCCATTTTGGCTTTTAATTCAAATGAAAAGGCCCTTGGATTTAATGTATAAATGGTGCTCTTGTCCTGTGGATCACAGATTTCCTGTCCTGTGGATTTGTTTTTGGATTTGCATTAATACATTTTTAATCACAAATGTGTTTGACTTTCAATATAAATTGATTGCAGTATTAGATAGATGTTGTCATAGACAGATCTATTCTTTCTGATTGTATAATAAAGACGCAAATTAAAACCATTTTAGCACCTTGGTTATTACTGCTAAGTAGTAGAGGAAATTTAAAAAAAATCTTTTACACTCAATTTTACTTTTCCTTCCTTGGCGCACTTTTGTTAGGTACTGACCACTGCAGACCGGGAACACCCCACAAGAGCTGCAGTTTTGGAGTAGCTCTGACCCAGTTGTCTAGCTATCACAATTTGGCCTCAAAGTCGCTCAAATCCTCACGCTGCCCATTTTTCCTGCTTCTAACACATCAATGTGAGGACAAAATGTTCACCTGCTGCCTAATATATCCCACCCACTGACAGGAGCCATGATAACCAGATAATCAGTGTTATTCACTTCATGTGTCAGTACTCATTATGTTATGGCTGATCGGTGTAAGGTCTAAGTGTTTTCTAACATAATCATGTGGTGTGGAAACCTGAATTTTTGAACTAAAGAAAAACTGAAGAATGAATAGTAAATACAGCTAGTAAAAATATAAGGATGCCGTAGGTGCAAATAAGAAACATTAAACACAGAGAACAAGGCTTTTCACATTGTAAGTGACCCTCAGTTATAGACCAATTTGTACTCATCCCCTCTCTTTAATACTCTTATAACTCCAGAAACAATCTCACCACTATGTCAATTTGGTAGCTGTTCTGGAGCTTTCATTTATAGTGCATGATCCTCATCAGCAAACTGGGTCTAGTTGTCATGAATGATGTTTAAATTCCAGTTTTAGGATCTTTCATCCATATCGGCATAAAATGATCAAAAGCTCCAGAGCAGCAACTAAATGAACCTTGTGATTAGTCTGTTTTGTTAACTTCTGTTTCCAAGTGCAAGACTGTTGAATATTTGAACCTCTGAGTGTCTTTTAAACTCATGTTCCATTGTTGATGTTTCATTCTAGATTAACTGTATTGTTTTGTTTGTAAATGTTTACAGTGTGGTTAAGCCAAAGACAATTTCCACATTCTGGTCTATTAAATTCCTTCCTTTTCCCTGCCATCTAAGGTTTGTATAAAAAGTCAGATGTGCTTGAAATTAACCAAGAAACATAAAACTAATAATATACCTCCACCTAGTGGCCACAAACCGTTACAACCAAGAGTTATAGAGTGTTGGACACTTGCAAAGATGTGCTGTAATGTGACAATAAAGTCAAAAATTCAATGTCTGAAATTGAAATCACATTTATTGTTTGTTCTGGAATTGATTCACTTAAAACTTAACCCTTTGTGTACAGTACAGTTCTTTCTTCAACTGCATCTTTTTCTTCTTAAATCGTCATTGTCATCTCACTTTTGTCTTTTTACACACTCATTCACACACGCACACACTCACAAAACAGCCAGTTACACCAGCTGAGGCTTAGTCAGGTAATCTTAAAAGGGAACTCTAATGCACCGGCCTCTGATTCACATCTTACGCAGTAATGCAGCCGCAGACCTGCAAGAGGCTACAGTGTCTATTACCTTGTGAATGCAGAGAGAGGATCATATCTCACCGTACAAAGTGGTCCCCTTTAAGGCCTGCTTATTAGAGTCCTTTGATATTAGGACGTGACAATCACACTAAAATGTTTTCCTCGCGTTCAGTCACTCGCCAGCGCCCGACCTGCAACATTCTCACCAGCACCAAAGTTTCAGCTTGGAGAGACTAACGGATAAAAATAAAAAATACTCTAAGATTCACCTTGCAGGACTGCAAATACAGAAATGCACAGAGCAATAAAAAATACATAGCATCAAAGGTTTAAATCAAATCACGATAGAGGAATTAAGATCACTTATTTTTTTAACTACCTTGCTAATAGAACTGCTGATAGCTCTACTAGCATCAACAGTTTCTTAAGTACATGTAGTTATATAGTATGTATCTATACTCCATAAAAGGGTTTAGGTATTGTTTGGATCGAACAGTCATGTTTCAAACATGGGCAACACTGGAACAAACTTTAAAGGTCGTCAGCCTACGTGGACCCTTTAGTTATTGCTTCAGTTGTGGGTTCATATGAACGCACGCTGAAGCAATGTAGAAAGAAACAGACTTCAGCCTCGAGAGCCCGAGGCCAGGCGTGTTTTTGTGTTTGGACTGAGGGCCGACCGTTCTCAAGAGCCCTGCGTGGAATTGAGTTTGGTTTGTGTTTGTGTTTAATTGGAATAATCTAACCCTACAGTAACAACATGAGTCCCATGAAGCCGCTCCAGGAGCCCGAGTCTTTTAAACTGGGGGGAGGGAGACTCGGCGGTGCATGTAGTGGATGTAGATCACCGCCGGTTCAGTCCATTGTTCAGTGTGGAGCCTTGGGGAACTCGATAGCTGTGCAAGAGTTTCCTCCACCATCAGGTCCAATGTAAACAGCTTTTACAGAGGCAAGACAAGAAAGTAAACAGACTCTTTGGCACATCCTAACATGACAACGGATGCATATAAGTCCTGATCAGACTACGTACAGACAGGCTCCCACATTTAGTTCACCTTGAGCTAAGGGGGTGTCTTACTATCAAGCAGTTTTACTTCTGTCTGTCTCTTTAAAATGGGAAACAAATGCACACTTGCTATGTATGTACATAAACAAACTAACACACACACACACTCACACACGCGCGCACACACACACACACACACACACACACACACACACACACACACACAATGTGCACCAGTGTAAAAGTGCACCGCTGACCTATTTTCAAACATTCCAAAGTTCTACTTTAGCTTTAAAATGACCTAGCTTACCACATTCAGATGCATAATAATAAATAAATAATAATTTGGGTTGAAAAAGGCAGGAAGAAAATGGCAACACTGTGAATGGAACAACTTGAAACATGTAACCTTGGAGGTTTTCTATGGCCCAGCTTCTTCCAGAAAGGGAGATTAAAAAGCGACTGTGTCTTCAACACAACAGCAGCCCTATCTGCCGAAAACAGCAGACTGTGGAGTAGTAACATCATGAAAGGTACAACTATCAATGGTATACTAACATGGGGCATACGTTTGATTGTGTATGTATGTGTGCATATAAAGGTATTAATAGGTGCTTTAAGCTACATTCAAACAAAATGTATATTTTGGGGTCAGTATTTCATTATAAAGTTAACTCGGGGGATCTTCCCTTTTTGGGTGTGCTTCCACTTCTTGCTCCTTTAACCAATCGGAATTAGTCTTTGTCAAATTTCACCCATTCAAATGGGCTTTTCAGTAAGTGCTTGGTGACAATGTCAACATTAAAAGTGCCTGTTTTAACACTACCTGTACCATGTGTTTGAAGTCTCCACCACAAGACTAGCATGATTATAAATGTTATTTAATCTCAGTCAGGACCTGTAGGTGAGAGGCTGAGGCCAGCACTACCAGCGTGCTGATAGAAATGGTCAAAGTCTCACAGGTCTTAGTAACGCACTGGTCATAAGGGGAAAGGGGGATAGGGGGGCTGTAGTAGACAAGGTGGGTTGAAGTTTGCTAAAGGGCTATATTAACCCCTAAATTGCCCAGTGAATGGGAGGAGGGGTACAGCAACGGTCCGCGTCATCACCTGGACATTCAATATGGGCAAGGCAAACACAAAACATTGGTTCATCTCTCCTCATAACCTTGGACACTTCCCACAATCATCCAGCCCCGGTGCTCAGATAAGCCAGGAGAGCTTCGTTCCCATGGTAACGGGACTTAGTAACAGTCTAGGAAGCTTCAAAAAGGTGCTCAGAGGGCTCTTTGGAGGGGAAACACTCCTCCTCAACAACACTTTGTGAAGGCCAAAGGAAAGAAATGGATGGACGAAAAGAAACTGCAAAAAGGAAGAAACAAACGGGATCAAATGACAGTGATGAATTTGAGCTTACACTGTCTGGGTGGGGAGGGCAATAGCAGTTGGTGATGGCGTGGGCTGCTCCTCTGAGACCTTTACTATCTCTGTGGCAGTGACAGGCGGAGCACATTCGGCCGGAGGCGTAGGGGAGCGGCTGCTGGGAGCTGTGGTGGGAGTTGGGGTGGAGTTGAGGGCAGGTGTGGTAGAGGTGGTTCTAGAGGTAGAGGTGGAGGCTGGGGCAGAGGCCTGGACCGGGGCCGGGTCATCAGCTGGGGCAGGGGGTCCAGCGGAGGCTGCTTTGGGCGCAGCAGGCTTGTTGTAGTTCATCTTGAGGATGTGCTGCTGGAGGTGTCTGATCCAGTCCTCTTGTACCGACAGCGGACCGTGAAACTCCACCTCGCAGAACCTGGATGCGGACAGAAAAAGACATTAAAGCTGGGAGTTACGCAGAACAACACTGCAAGTAATCTACATCTACTGTGGCTTCAGCAAAGTTTCTACACAAAGCAATAAAATGGGAACTGATGGTGTTAAACTCCCTCGGGGGGCAGCCGATTCTGTTAAAACTTTTGTACTGCAGTTATATTAGAACTTAAGCACTCATTCATGTTGCCTGAAAATCCCAAATGATTCACTACTCTCAATATAGTGCATTAGCAACTAAAAGTAGAGTACTGCTCAGCAGGGGGTTGGGGTGGGGATTGCTGCTTGGGGATTATGGGACTATTTAAAATGTAGCCAGACAGTTCTATTAATGCCGCTGTTTCTAAATGTCTAATGTCAAGGGCCCGGAACATTTTCTCTTGGGCGCTGGGAAGCCCTGCTCCAACACACGGGGTCCACTCACCGGCACTTCAGGGTGTAGAACTTGCCCACCAGTTTGACCAGCGGGTAGGAGGGTGGCTTTGGCACCAGGGCGGGGACGGTGCCTGTGCGAGGTGGCTTAGGAGGACCGCTGTCCCTCTCAGTTCCATCAGGGCAAGACGGGTGCTTCAGGGGCCGCCGCTCAAAACCTTATCGAGAGGAGCAGGAGCAGCAAAAGACTAGTATGTGAGTGCATCAGTCCAGTGTTGCTATTATTAATGCATTACAGTTGTTTTGTTGAAAACCAATAAGGTGGAGTTTTCTTTCTAAACTCAGCAAATGTATGAAGTGCAATAATTCTCCATTTTCTTATTTCATTTTGTGCTTGCAAGGTTAATTTTGTACAAACATACTTCACTTGATAAGGTGTAAAAATGTGTCCCTTTCACTACGTTTCAAAGAAATAATACAAGCCAATTCAGTGTCAGAAAATAAAGGATGAAAGGCCACTCGCTGTCACTGAAAACAAAGGCTAGCTCAGTACTGTGGCTCTCCTCCTAACATTTCTTTTTATTTCCCCTGATGAAACCCCTCGCTCTCAGTGTTTTTGTTTTTCTTTAAGCACAACAGCCTCTTTTCATTTGTCTTACATCTAAAGTATCCAGCAGTTAACCCCCGCTATTGTGTCGCTGCGGTCAGTCCCCTTTTTTTTTCAAAGTCTGCCGTCATGTCAGTCTGTACTTGAGCTACTATGCTAACGTCAGTATGCTAACATGCTCTCAGTGACAAACCTTGGCATTGTTTGGCAGAAACACTGCTTACTTTAGCGTGTTAGCATGCTAACATTTGCTGATTAGAGCGAAACACAAAGAACAGCCGAAGCTGATGGGAATGATTTTAGTTTTGCAGGTACTAGCTGTCGTGACATTTTACTCTAAACTACAAATATCAACCTGCTGCTGGTGCTAGGAGGGATAAGGGATTCATCTTCTGGGGAGCATTAATGACATTAATGTCCAAAATTGTATAACCATCCAGAAGGTGTACAGAGTATATTTTAGTCCAGACCAAAGCGGTGGACTCTGTAACCGCAGTGTCGTTGTCATTGAGCTAAAGCGTGACTAAAAACAGCCAACAAGCTTTAGAGAATTTCAGTAGTTTTAAAGAGTCAAATGGTTAAAATGTTTCTCCTCAGAAGCCCAGCACTACCTCAGCGACAATGTACAGGAGTGGGTACGTGTTACATGCGGGCAAATGTACCTAACGGAGTGCATGAAAGCAGGAACATATGCTGTATCCTCACGTACCTCTGGGCAGGCGGACGTTAAGCTCGCTGCGTGCCACCTGGGCTTGAAGTGGGAGGCCGCCAGCGAGCCGCGAGAGGCTGGGACTGCTGCGGCCGGGCCTGATGGGAGCGGACAGTAGATTGGTACCAGCTTCGCCATCAGCGGTCTTGGACGAGCCCTGGCTGACCTCGCGGCTCAGCGGTCGCACCAGGCTTACAGCCAAAGACGAAGACCACTGGGAGGAGGAGGACGAGGAGGAGGAGGAGGAGGAGGCCTTCTGCGATGAGATGGGGAGGATATGATCAGAATCCATTGACGCAGTGAGAGGTGAGCTGCTCTTCTGGAAGAGGGGAAGAGATGAGTTTTCTAATCAGCATTATATCTACAGGAGACATTTGAGCTGCCAGGTCCCCACGACAACTAGAAATAACAACACAAACATAACTAGTTCAAGGAATAGTTCAAAATTTTGAGACATGCCCTTATTTGTTGAGAGTTAGAGGAGAAGATTGATACCTCTCTCATGTCTGTCAGGTAAATGTCAAGCAATTGCAAGCAGTTGGTTAGCTTAGCTTAGCATAATGACTGGAAACCAATGGGGGATATTACAATAGGTTGACGCCATGACGATTTTTCGGAGCCAGCAGCAGTGACATACTGCGAGTTGAGTTGCGCTCATCGGCTGCGCAGTTTCGACTTGTCAGTAGCAGGAAAAAATAGCGACTCTCCAGGTCGTACATTTGATAGTACCCATAAGGCTCCATACTTTCTGACTTTTATGCAGCCCATGGAGTCGCCCCCCGCTGGCCATTAGAAAAAAATGCAGGTTTAAGAAGACCTGGCAGCGTTGTCCACTAATTATACTGTCAATACCTCAACATTTTAAAATATAAGTATGGCAGTTAAGACTTTCTGTAATTGATCTATATCTGGTTATAAATACCAAGATCCTCATAACCAACTAATACTTACAATTAATTTAGCACAATCTGCGTTTTAACGTACCTTATACATTCACAACTACGTAAACTTTAACCGCACCTGTCATTTTTAATGCACCAATTAGGAGCCCAATTAGTATCTGACAGCTTGGTAATTAAGACATCCGTATGTTCTAGCTTTGCGCTTTAACTCATCAATATTTATGAGCTGCTGTAGAAGGCAAACGCATAAGGCTTAAAGGCCACTTACTACCTTTTTCTGGTGCTTTCAACAGCAACTCACAGTCGTCAGAGGTCGTCTTTGGTAAGAATAAATAATGATGATAGCTTATAAGTAAATCAGTGGGTATCTTTCATCTGCTAATGAAGGCCATGACATTCACTTGAAAACTCAACAGAAAGCCAGTGAGTGGACCTTGAGTCTAGACTATTTTCGTCCCCCAAAAAAAAAAAAAAAGCCAAGGCCTTGTTACTCAGAATGAAAAAGCCTGTACACACATACAGCCCACCCACACACAGGTTTTCACTCATGTTTCCTGATTAGAGCTCGTCTCGTGTCTCTCGCTCTCCGGTTAATTTATTAGTAGTTAGGTGTTTGGTGACATCACATCACAGTTCCCAGCGTAGGGTAGCTCCGCCCAACTTCACCCAACCAGAGGTCTGCAACCAATGCAATCCGACTCGAACTGCAATGATTGGTCAATTACTTGATTAGTCGCCAACAATTTAAGAAAACAGTTCCAAATTCTCTGATTTCAGCCCCTTAAATGTGAATATTTTATGGTATCTTAAGTACTCTAAACTGAACATCTTTGGGTTGTGGACAAAAGACTTTTGAGGACGTTCCTTTGGGCTTTGGGATCAACATTTTTAAAATTTTTCAACACTTCATGGACCAAACAACTACTCCATTAATCAATAATGACAATAATCGCCAGTTGCAGCCCTAAATATAACTAGGAATGCTAAACTATATACAGTGCTCAACTACTCTGGACCAGTCATGTAGTCGGGTGTAAGCTCACTAAAGCTGTGACAATTAGTCAATGAATTGATTAGTCGATTGACAGCATTAATTGTCAAATATTTAATTGATTAATCCTTTAAGTTATTCATGAGGCAAAAAAGCCAAACTGGATTCAGCTTATGAAATGTGAATAACTTAGTTGAATTAATTTCAGTTTTTCTTTGTTTTATTACATTGTGATCTGAACATCGTTGGGTTTTGTACATCACCAATTTTATGAGATTTAATTTCAGCCTTATTCATTATTATTTTCATTATGGATTAATCTGTCAGTTATCATCTCTATTAATCATTTGGTCTATGAAGTGAAATCACAATTTGCTAAAGACCAATACGATGTCTTCAAATTAATTGTTCAGTCCAAACCCCAAAACAGTGAGTTTACAATCATATGAAGTAGCACATCCATCCACTGAGCAGCTGAAACTAGGGAATGTTTAGCACCTGAAAAACGACTTAATGATGAATTAATTATCAAAATAGTTGCTATTTCAAATCCTCTAATCAGCCATCAATGCCCACACGTCCCTTAGACACAGGCCGACCGTACAGTACATGCAGCTTAGTTGAGTTCATTTCTCCATTATGAAAAAAAAAAGATCTTTACAATATGATTACAAGGACATTTAAAAATGTGATCCATTCTGTATGTGTGTCACATCACAGCTCAGGGAAAAGGTGTGACAGTGACGCAAATGCACCAGAAACTAATTCAGGAGGGAGAAACAGAAAAAAGAAAAAAAAAAAAAAAAGCGTACGTTTTCTTCTATCAACAGCATGCCATAATTTATCTGAGGATGAAACATAAGCTGCCAGGCACCCTGGTTACTATGGCAACTATCAAGTCAATAGCTGAGTTGCTCTGGCATCTGTCCCCACAGTGATTTTTGCTGGGTGTAAAGACACAGGATCTACAGTAAGGCTCAAAGCTGTTAGACAACACGTCTGAAGCTTTCCAAGACACAAAATGTCTGTCGAGCCACCAGCTGAGGCGTGTTAGATCTCCAAGCAAGACGCCTATTCAAAGACACTGGGAGAGAAGTGAGTGTGTCAGGAAGGTAACACCGCAGGTTATGATCTTGTATTGTATAGCTGCTTAGCTTAGTGGGAGGCACAAGTTCTTCCACTGATTTTTTCAATTTTTTCTCTGAGGACAAAAAACCCCCCAAAACATTCACGCACCCAACAACTTTGCTGAGTTGAGTTAAAACATCTGCACGGACCTGCGTTAAAATGAACTAACTGGCTCTCCTCACCTTCTTGAGGGTGGAACGGCTACCCTGCATGTAGCTACGATGCATCTCCAACACCTTCTGCGGCCTGCTGCGCATCCAGGCGCTAAGTGTCTCAATGGGGGATCCATTTACACACCACTCAGTCACACCGAACTGCCTCAGGTGGGCTCGCGCGTGGCTGGCCAGAGCCTTACGGTTCTCAAAGTAGAAGCCACACAGCTCACAACTGGGATCTGAAACGTACAGGAAAGGAGCAAGGTGACGTGAGAATAATTATCAACATGACAGAAAAACTAAAGACCAGTCAGTGACTCACCCTGGTGTCCGTGCTTGTCTGGGGACGGTTTTCTTTTGAAGGAGAAATCATGTGGCAGAGGTGAGAATGTCTTAAGCTGATGTGGTGGTGAGTGGCCAGTCTCCACTGATTGGGTTTCCTCAGACAGAGGCCTTTTCCCCAGTGGGGAGATCCTGAAGAACTTCCCTCCAGACAGGGTAGCAGATGTGCCCACGGACCCCAGGCCCTGCTTGTGGAGCCTCGACCCCGACTGCAGCAAACTGAGAGGAGATTTGCGGAATTTGGAGGACTGGTAGCCTGAAACACCCAAACCCTCTGAACTGCCGATGCCCCCTGTGTTCTCCCATGGAGGACTGTTGGCTCCCTGGCTTGACTCCTTCTTCACTCCCTGGTCTGAGTGAGAGGAGGCGCCTACCCCTCTCTTGTGCATTACCTCTCTCAGGGTGTCGATGGGCGAGCCGTTGACAGACCACTCAGTGATGCCCATCTGGCGCAGGTGGGAGCGGGCATGGCTGGAGAGGCCTTTACGGTTCTCAAAATATTCCCCGCAGAACTCGCAACGAATATCCCTAGTAGGCTCTACTTCATGGGCCATTGCTATGGAAAGACCAGAGGGAGAAAGTCAATGCTTAGATCAATATATGAGTATGAGTGGACAAACACTACAAGAATTACTGGTTTAATGCAAACATGCACTCTATTATCCCATGCTTTGGATCCACTAAACAGTTCTTTTTACTATAACTGTCCTATGACTGAGCTCATTAGCTTGTTAAGGTAGCTGGCTGCTGCTGCTCGTATTTAGACATGAGAGTGCTATCAATGATCTTATCTGACACCAAGTGTATTTCCTAAAATGTCTATGCTTTTAAATTGCTTGAGACAAAAATGTTCAAGTTACCCAAGTTGAGGGGGAACACACTGTCAGAGCTGCTCCAGTTGACAGTTTCACCAGAGAAGCCGGCAGATCTCCCTACGGCTCCAGGGGTGGTGACCTCCAGCTGCACCGGCTCAGGCTTCAGCTTGAGGATCAGCCCACTAGAAGAAGAAGTTGGTGGAGCCGAGCTTGATTTAGACACCGCGGACTGAGGAGGGCTGGAGGGGCGGGCAAAGGCGAAAGGTAGACGACTGAGGAGGGTCGCTGAAGGAGAGGAGGAGGTTGACAGAGGTGATCGAGGGGGCCCCGGAGAGGACGGAGGCGGAGTTTTGAGAGGTTTTAGAGGAAGAGCGCATGGCAGGCCCCGTCTTGTGATGATATCCCTCAGGGTATCGATTGGCGAGCCGTTGACAGACCACTCAGTAATGCCCATCTGGCGCAGGTGGGAGCGGGCGTGGCTGGAGAGGCCTTTGCGGTTCTCAAAATATTCCCCGCAGAACTCACAGCCTATTTCCTTTGGAGGTTCACCTAGGAGATTAGAGAGGTGAACAGAATTATACCTCATTGAAACATCTCTAATTATTAAAAATAAAGCCCACTTTATGTGAAGAAATTCTCCTGTTACACAACCCTGTGAAACAAACACTCACTGTGTGGAAGGGCCATGAGCTCTCCACTACTCAAGCGGAAGACCCGCATGGAAGAAGACTTGAGACGCTTGGCGGGTGGGCCAAGTAAAGATGAGGCAGAGGAAGAGGTAGCTTTGGATGTCGACCCACCCCCAGCTGTGGTCACCTTATAGAGGAGGGAGGAAGATGTAGAGGAGGAGAGGCTCAGCAAGGAGGACTGCTTTGGGGAGGAGAGCGCGGTGGTGAGGCCCCGTGGTTCTGTGTGGCTGTCGAGCTGCAGTGCACTGGCTTTGTGCTTGAAGTCGTCGGTATCAATGAGCTGGTTCAGGAGGTCGATGGGAGAGCCCTTGGATTCAGAGTACTCCACCCCAAAGTGCCGCAGGTGGGCTCGTGCATGGCTGGATAGGCCTTTCCGAGTCTCAAACCAGGCGCCACACAGCTGACAAACGATATCCTTGTTGGGGTCCACCTCCAGTGCTGCACATGGAGAAGAAATAACGGAACTAAAGCTCATAAAAACAACAAACAAAGTTACTTTTTAAAAAGTTAACAGTGAGGGCAGCAACACTTACTGAGGTTGAGAGGAGCGTCATTCTCCTGTGGCGCCCACAGAGGTTTGGTTGATGTGATAGTGGTGGGGGCAGAGAGGTTAGAGGTCAAGCTTTTCATTCCCCCACCCTTGTGCTCCGGAGAGCGCAAGGGGGAAGACACGGGCAGCAGAGAGGAAATGGGGGCTTTCCTCACTACTGAGGAAGGGGAGCCAGAATGAGGTGGAGCTGGAGAGGCACCAGGAGAAGGTGTAGGCGTGGAGGAGGAAGAGGGTGGCGCTGCTTTCACTGCTTTGGCCAGGAGGGAGAGAGGGATGGGCTTCTCGTCTAAGTCCATGTCTTCTAAATCCTCATCTTTCTGAGGAGCAGACGGGGAGGAGTTCTTGGCTGAAAGGGGCTCCAGAAGAGGTGAGCTTATTTGGGCGTCTCTGTTGCGCTCCTTGGCAATTTGGTAGAGGAGGTCAATGGGTGCTCCGCTGCTCTCTGAAACTCTGATGCCTAGCTGCCGCAGGTGGGAGCGGGCGTGGCTGGACAGCCCTCGCCGGGTCTCGAATTGAGCTCCACACACCTCACACTTCAAGTTGTGGACTGCAAAAGAGACGAGAACAGCTGATTATTTCAAAGTAATTGTTACCACTGACATTCTGTCATTATTTTAACCAGCAGCACTAACACAAAGTTTTGCAAAGCAACAGTGGAGCCCACAGATATCCCCAGGGGACATGTCCGCTCACTTACCCTCCCTGTCTACATCTTCACCCAGTCTGCAGCAACACTAGTCAAGAGTTGGAGGTATTCTCATTAGCTCCTAAATACATGTGTCCACCTCCCAGGATCTCCCTAGGGACAGCCCCTCTCTGATGTAGTGTCACCACGCCTGGATGCTGACCCGAGGTCAGTTTTACAATTTCCCCACTGACAGCTATGATAAGGCTTTACTGTAGCAAATCCAATCCCCTGTCAACACTCTGGGGTCAGCATTCCGCATATTTCTCTCTCACCCTTGGAGTCTGCATCCTCCCCAGGAGGGAGGCAGTCTGTGTCCACACTGCACAGCCCTGTTTTCCCGGGGCTCGAGTTCAGACCGTCCAGAGCTGGAAGCTGCAGCTCCTCCTCATCCTCAGCTGCTTCCTCCTTCTCACCTAAAACATAACAGACAATATCCATATAAGTGTAGAAATGCCATGTTAATTAGGCCAATTAAGAGACTGTGGCAATAAATCACCTTAAAATAAATGCTGGTGTCTGACAAAAATCAATCTGGCAACAGAGTTACATTTCTATGCTTCTAAAAAAAAAATCAAGTCAGCCTTTTAAAGCATATAAATGTATTTTTGAGTGCCTTGAGAATAAATAAAAGACGCAGCCTGAGAGGCAGAAAAATCAACTCAGTCTTGTGAGCTCATTGCCTATAATTTATCAGTCCTTGTAATAACAGCGCATTACAACGTCTTCTGTAGGGAAATGTACGTGGAAATAATTCAAGTAATGAATCCCTGTCAAAAAAGTAATAATTGCACTACTGTATGAAACAAACATGGCAGTCTTGGTTCCCCGCAGTCAGGCATTCCTGGGACAAAAGTGCCATTTTCTGCGACAAATCGCTAAATCAAAAGAGACGTGGAGACAGACAATGCTTTTTGTCTGGTGGGCGGCTCTGCGCTTGTCAGTTCATCTCTTGACTGTAAAAGAGCGGCGATGTGACACCTCGGAGCGCAGCGTTATAACACCATCTATTATAATGAAGATAATACTCCACAATCAGCCGAGTATTTATAAAAACGGAACAAAGTAGCAAACCGCTAACTTGACTTTGTATCCATTCAGGCAGTGAGTAACACTGAGCAAGCAGACACTTCCAAGTAAAAGTGATACTTCGATTATACTTCGTTGATCCGGATAAGTTGTAATAAGATTACTGACTATGACCGCTTTCAGTCCACAAAGTTACCACGTTTTCCTGAGCAATCTCACTGTTAGTTTGGGATTAAAACGTGCACAAATGCATGCACTTGAAAGCACAGCGTGTCCTCTATCAAAAATCAAAGCAAAGTAAAATGGCGAGGATTGGGCAACTGTAGGTAATTTTAGAGATCCTGCAGCATTGAAAATACTGGACGTCATCCCAGACGTGCACAATAAAACCCTCGCAGGCATTGGGAACACACAAACTGTAACAACAATACCACAACAGCGGAAAAATCACCACCGTTTATCCGCGCGTGCAAAAACGGAAACACCCGAAACAATACCAATGACCCGCTTTATGAGCTTTTGACATGCATGTCATGGGCTACCTGCATGGCTGTGCGCGACATTGATTTTCTTTACGTGCTCTCACATGATAAAGAGTTTTTAATGGCTGTTGTCTGGCTACAATGTGACAGAAGATGCGGCGCGAGACGCGCGGTGCAACGCCGCCGTGTGTGATCCGAGGGCACGCGGTGCTCAGGAATTACAGCGCGCGGTACTCACCGGTCCGCTACCGCAGTGCATCGGACTCCCGGCAGCTGAGGCCAGACAGTTTTTCCGCTATTGTTTGGGTCTACGGGGAGGTGGAAGCAGCCATTTTGCCCCCATATGCACCGCTAAGCTAAGGCGTGACCAATCGAGTGGAGGCGGAGGTTGGGATAAATGCACCGAGTGCCACATCAACCACGGGCATCAGGGACTCTCTCTCGCTCTCTCTCTCTTCCTCTCCCCCTCTCTCGCACTCACACTCTCTCTACTAAGGCTGTTTTTCTCGACAGCCACCATCCTGAGTCAAACACTTCACACAGTGCACAAAAAGAGCAGTAAAAAGCAAACAGACAGACTCACTTACAACAACAGTGGCAGCATCTGAACTCACATTCCCCTCTGCTTTATGCATTTGTAATAGTCTTTTTCATCCATCTATCATTACTGAGGTCTATTGACCCTGTGTCAAGTTCAAAGTGCAAACACAGACAGGTAGTAACTATCAAACACATTGGCAACCAACAGAATAACCACACAGACCAATAAGAAAGGTGCATTTGGTCCATTTAAGGTTGGATCAATAATGAAAACTTACCGCCACACTCTTCTACACCGTCCTCCTCCTTGCAGTGTTGGGGAGATGCTGGAGGCTGTGCATCAGACGCGGCAGCACTCAGCGTCCTTTCACTCGTTTCCCCCTCTAGCTTTACCTCAATGACTCCCTCCCCTTCTTCCTCTATTTCCTTCTCCTCTTCCTCCTCACCCTCCTCCTGTGAAGAGCCGGGGCTCCGAGGGGGAGCTGTGGGGATTACAAGGTCGGGCCTGCTGGAGAACAACTCCCTCAGGATGTGGATCGGCGAGATGGTGACGTCCCAGTTGGTGATGCCAAAGTCGCGGAGGTGGGCCCGGGCATGGCTGGACAGGCCGGCCCGGGTGTCGAAGCCAGCGCTACAGAACTCACAGTGCATCACACTGAATGTGTCCGGGTCAAAGTTGGCAACTGTGGAGAGGACAGGCGATACAAGCGGGAGTTTAGACATGTGGTTGAATGTGCAGTGTGATACTGGACAGCTGTGGACTGACTGACAGCTGTGTGCCTCTTTGACTTGTGACCCCTTGAATAGAATCAATGTGTTTATAGTTTTGGTTCACAAGTTGAACTTGTGACAAGTTCAACTAAAGGGTGACTTTAACCCATGTTAGTGGTGAATGGCAATGTCAGTCTGTCAGTCAGTCCACCACTTTGGTCCGGACTGAATGATCTGAACAACTATTGGACAAATTACCATGTAATCTGGTTCAGATATTCACGGTCCCCAGAGGATTAACCCTCATGACTTTGGTGACTTTACCTCTAGCGCCACCAGCAGATTAAAATTTGTGGTTTTGAGTGAAATGTCTTGATACATATTGGATGGATCACCATAACATTTGGTACAACAACCAATTACCCACCTATCACCTGTATTTTGTGTTAGAAGTGTTAATTAGAAAACGCTAGCATGCTAACATGCTAAGATGGTGATGCTTAACATTGTACCTTTTTCTTCCAACCATTCAGATTTATGTTGTGACCCTTGCTTCCCCACATTGGGGACCACTGCTTTACGTTATAGCAACCACTTCTGAAAGTAGTTCACATAAAGTGCTACCAGATGGGAAAATTAAATAAAAAATTTGAGCGAGAGGAGCTCAACAACACAAAAAATACCGAAGTTGGAAGTATGTGTTCTGCTGAATGTGATTCTGATTATATATGTAACTTAATTCCTGATTGACCAATTGTTTTAGTTTTTTTCCATTATTATTTATGTTTGTCTTGTAATTTTCCTTTTTATGTGTTGTTGTCACTCAGTTGTTCTGTTGCTGTGAACTGTATTGAACTCTTGAATATGATGTAAATTTTTGATTGTGCAAGAAAAAAATAAAGAAACAAATACTCTACACTGGGCTAATATACATTACAGCTCACGTCAGGGTCATTGTGCTGAGCATACTGCATATTAAAAACAAAGACAACACAAAAGGCATTGTCTGTCTAAATTCTGCTCATCCACACAGCTTAACAAATACATTCAACAAGCCGCTGACCTTTTTTTTTCTTCTTCTGATAGGAGAACTTCTTCTCAATCGCATTGACTTCCTCGGGGGATATGAAGTGACGCACATTGTAGCTGACGCCCACTCGGTTCAGGTGGCCTCTCACGTGATTGGCAAGCCCAATGCCATTATGAAATCGATCGGGGCAGTAGGGGCATTTCCTCTCCACACTCTTGAGCGTCTCCGTGTCCTCATCAATCTCGTCGTCTTCTTCATCCAAGATGCCCTCTGACAGGAAACGTCGCACGCGTTCCTCGTCAATGTCGTCGTCATCATCATCACTGTCAATTTCTGCAGGAGCAGCGGAAACCCGGTTGCTCCTCCTCAAAAAGAAAACCTTTCCATCTTTCTCCACTTCCAGCTTGTCTTCGTCCTTCACACTCTTCTTCAGAGAGAGCGATAATGTAGAGCTCTGCTGCGCTGAACAGTCATCTATAATGACAAAAAAATCAATGTGGAATAAACAGACAAATCCTACTTAAATTGCAACAGTATGCAACTTAAATTACTATATGAGCAGCTCTTAAAGTCCATCTCTAATGCCATCAAGTATTTATGTTTAACCTCAACACTTAATAATTTTAATTTGAGTAATCTGATTATTCCCAAGTTCTTGCATTAAAAGGTCCAGTGTGTAGGATTTAGTTGCATCTACGGCCATGATTCAACCTCCCTTTCCAAGAGCGAAGGAAAAACTACGGTGGCTGCGAAATGTACCTTCTGGGCTACTGTGGAAACATTGAAGTTCATGTTCTTAGAAGTGGCTGCTCATTCTACGTTATTGAAAACACAATTCCTATATTTAGGTGACTGTACACTAATGAAAACATACCTATTCATATTATATTCCATTTCTGCCAATAGATCCTCCTAAATGTTACACACTGGACCTTTAATTTGAATACTCTTTCAGGGATTCAAAATGCTAACACAGCTAAACTTCTGCTACAGAAATGATCAATGCACACCCATAACCAGCTTTCTGTAAGAGTTTGCATACATGAAAGGAATATTTCTGAAGGAGTGCATACTGGCATAATAAAGTTGTTAATGGTTGGAAGTGTTAGCAAACAGCTGCTTATTTACACATCCCGCAGTTATTAGTATTCCTTTGTAGTCGTGTGCTGTCCAATATTCACTCTACTTTAAGCACTATTTTAGTTTCCACCAACTCCTGAGAGAAATATCTGGCTCTTTATCTGCTAAATGCTCCATTATGTTCACCAGCTAGTCACTACCTTTTACTGTCAGCTGTTGGGTACTGGGCACTGTGGGTTTTTATAGCTTTTCCACTGAAAACAGCTGCCTGCTGAAGCCTAGAAACAACACTATGTGAGCGGTAAGGGTGAACCAAAGCAGTAAAGTTGCGGGCCAGAAAAATCTAAATAATTAGCTTTAAGATGAGGTGAACTGCAGAGTCGGGTGATAAATCTGTTTGGTTTTGGCACTACAAGCGACACATTTCACATTACACATAGTTATTTGATCCATTGTTTATACTGAAAATATTGATTAGTGCAGCTTTTATCTTTCCTGTATGATCAGGTTTTCTGTGCAGTTGCAACACAAAGCTATGAGCTAGTAGCATAAAATCTGTGGTTCTAGGGAAATATATCCAAATGTTAAAAACAGAGTTCTCACATCTGGTTTGTGAGCATGTACGTGCAATCAATGATAACGCTGAGTCTCACCTGTGTTTGATCGTGCTCTGGTTTGCGGTTTCACTTCAACAGATGAGTTGGCTTCTTGTTGGGAACACTCTGTGTCAAGCTCTGTGCTCTGATCTCCGTCCTGCTCCTCTTCTTCGCTCCCGGACAGTTTGTCATCATCCAGTCTGGGGTGAAACTTTGCCAGATCAGGCCATGTCTTCCCTCTTCTGCTGAATCTCCTGTTCCCAACACACTTCAGAACCACCTGGCTTGTGGGCCGAGCTGCAGCGCTGTCTGCTATTGTGCTGTCCTCAGAGGCAGTGACTTCTTGCTGGCTTTTGCCTTGAGTTGCATCAGACAGGGATCCAGTTCCAGACCCAGAGAGGTGGTCAGAATCTAGGGTGGGTTTTGAAATTCGAGCACCCACATTAGATCTTGAATGCTGGCCAGTTGAATCAGCCTGCGCCCCACTGATGGTGACCTGTCCTGGGTGAACGAGTTTCTGGTGCTCCCTCATTACAGTCTGACTTGAGGTCACAAAGGCACAATGACCACAGGCCAGGGAAGAGGATGCCACACATGGTGGGGAACCAGGGGATGAAGAGTCAGCCTGGAGAGCAGGTTTTTTCCTGTTGTGGGTCTTGGTGTGATTAGCCAGCGCCTGGGAGGTTCTTGTGCTGAAGTTACACTTGGTGCAGACAAAGCGGCGGCGGTAGGTGGAAACAGCTCGGGCCTGAGCTGGAGTGCGAGCTGAATTCGGAGGAGTCGAGTCTGAGTCGAGAACTGCTGGGTCTGCGTCTGGTGTTGAAACTGGGGCTGGGGAAAGAGGTGGAGATGAGACTATTTCTGTGTCTGACTCTTTGCCTGGAATAGAGGCTGTGCTTGCGTCTTGCATAATAGCTGGGTCTGGGCTTATATGCTTCGCAACCTTACTGTCGAGTTTCTGAATCTCCCTTGCCTCCCCATTTTCATTTAGTTTCTCAATCTCCTCCAAGATCTTCAAACGGGATTCCTGGTGCCTTCTGTGGTGGTCTGCCAGCGCGAGCCGATTTGGCAGGTTCCATCCACACTCGATACACCGAAAACGGCCGCCCTTTCCTAAACGCCTGCCACCCCCTGCACCACTCTGACAGTGCTCGACTATGTGCTCCTGCAGGTGGACCTGCTTCTTAAAGTAAATGCTACATTCCACACAGGTGAAGATTTCTTTACCTGGCACCACCTCACTTTCTTTGTCTCGTTTCCCTCCTCTGTCTCTGAACTTTATCGGTTCTTCCACTGCTCCCTCTCCAAAGTTGACTTCCTCGAAATCATAAACCCCTGCGCCTCGATTCAGCTGTGCAGGCTCAGCAGGTTTAGATTTTTGAGGACTCACTCTTGCTCGCTTGCCAGTCTCAGGCAATGTGCGCTTCAAGGTGCCAAGTCCGGAGAAGGGCCTGAGCAGCACCCTCTTCTTTCTGCACCGCTGAATGAATGTGCAGTGAGCCCAGGGGGCAGGAGGGGGACTCTCGGGGTCTGAGTCTCCAGGGAAGCTGTACACATCTCTCTCAGGCTCCTTCGTTTCTTTTCCCTTGGGCCTTTTCTCTCCCTCACTATTGTCCGCCTCCTCCTCCATTTGGCAACCTTCCTTTGGTTTTACTTTGGCCAGAAACAGCTCAGCTCCCTCAGATACATTCCAGACTTTGCTGTCTGCCACTGCGAAGAGAAAACAGAGGAATTATGAATGAACGGCGCCTTAAGATAAAAAGAAAGATATCAAGTGTGCGGGCACATATTGTTTCTTCCTTATGGTACTTACATTCTGTTGGGCCAAGCTGAGATGTGTTTGGCTCTTCAGTCTTTGTGCTCTCATTGTTGTCGCTGTGCTCATCCACGGGGGCAGGTGAGTCAGGCTCGCCATGCAAGTGCTGCACTTTTTCAGGTTCTTGGTCATCTTCACTATCAAGTCTGGAAAGGAAATACATTACATAACATTTGTCATTTGTGACATTTGAAAGCAGCATCTCTGCCTGAAACAAGACACAGTTACAGATCAGTTACAAGTGAGGACACTGAGGTCATGTCCTTTCTACTTTTTCTGGAAGTTTTGTGGGTTTTAGGGGGATTTTGAGGGAGTACGATTAAAAACATACACGTGGTGAGTATTTTTTTTACATGCTGATTGTAGTATTTGTAGACTTTGTATATGTCAATATGACATCTGATGCCGTTTCCAGTTTATGCTAAGCTAAGCTAACCTACTGCTGGTTGTGGCTTCATATTTACTGTGCAGACTGAGAGTGGGGTCAATCTTCTCATGTAACTCTGTAAAAAAATACTTTGAACAGCTGGTACATTCAAATTAAACTTTAGTTAAATAAATCAATTATATATTGTAAAAAAAATCAAATAATTTGTCTGTTGGTGGGAGGGTGCACTACAACTCATGACCTCAGAAATCCTGGCTTCTGCCCTGATTATATTTACTAAAACAAAAGATCTGCCTTTGATGCTTTGGATGTCTCTGTCTGTATTTTTTACAGATGATTTCACCACCAAACAACTCGCTGTACTCTTCCTCCTGTACCTCCTCCTCACCTGAGTCCAGAAGAAGGAGATCCTGGGCTGTGAGCAGCCAGACCATGAGGGTTAGAAAAGTGCTGTAGCTCCTCCTCTGACACATAACAGCACACAAAACACACAACCACAGGAACATCACTTCACAGCTTAACAGTTACAATCCACAGTCATAAATACAGTGCATACTCCGCTTACATAGAGAGAGAAAGATGAGAGACTACATGCAGACATTTAAAACAATAAGAGGACAACAATTATAAATATATAACATAGCTAAATCCAGAGCTACTTCTAGCTTTGCTGTGTAATCACTACTGTGCTACTGCTGAGAAGTGTGCAACAGGTTTCCGATAGATATTAAGCCATGTGTTACCATCTAGTGTTTCTTTCTCAGAGTCAGAGTCCCAGCTTAGGGAGGAAGGAAAGGCTGAGGACCTGAATCTCCTCTGTGCGCTCCTCCCTCGGTCCACACTGGGCTGAGTGCCCTCGCTCTGCTTGGGGCCCTCATCTCCAGCATGGCCCCAAGAGCATTTGGCAGACATCAGGCCGTCCCTCACATCTGGAGAACATGAGGACTGGAGGCGACGATAGAAATGTACATGGTCAGATAATGGGAAAGAGAGCGATGCATGCTACGGCTGATGATGTCTTTACCTGTAAGGTGCAGTTGAGGAAGGTGGCAGGGTTTTGTGCTGAGTTGAAGGGTGGGGGCCCATAGCTGGTCCCTGGGGTGAGGGGTCGCCCTTCTGACTCCATGGTCCCCCAGAGAACAGTATGGAGTCCCACTGATGACCAGCCTGCCTACATTGTGCAGTCTCTTCTTCTTCTGGAAACATGAACACACACAAACAAATCAAAAGTTTCTAGGGGGTTAGAAGTTTCACCAACTACTGCTCACTGTAGTAACCTGCATACAACATGTTTATGTGAGGAAGAATCAGGAGGCTTATCAGATAATATGAAAGTGTCAAATCTGCAGAATCCGTCGTGTTTTGGCTGTCCTCAGTATTTTTTTTTTTTTTTTTGCCAGCTGCAGTTTTCGGACTGTCTGACCTATTTTCACAATATGTCTGGTCTTAAAGAATGAAATAGGGCGCCCAAATGGTTACATAAATAAGTGGCCTTTATATTCAGGCCCATGTCCTCCTATGCTGCCCCTCTAAAAAGCAGCAAAATGCCCGGGTACCTCAAGGTGTCCCACGGGTTTGGCCTCTGTTGCTTCAGAGGACGTGGCCGCTATCGATCCAGTCGCTGTCAGCTGACTATAACAACAAAACATCGGCGCACAATGCCTTTTAAAACCCCAAACGCCTATGAGCTGCAGCTTCTTTTTTTTCTTCTTCTTTTTTTTTTTTTTTATAGTGCAAATACTCACTGAAATCGGCCTGGTTTGCGGATCGCAGGGAAAGGCTGGCTGTTCAAGCACCGTTCGTCATAGTTTCGGGACGGAGCTGAAGCTTTTACGCCCCGAGACGATGCTCGCCAGCGGCTCCGACGGCTCCCATGGACAAACTTGCTCTTTTAATCGCTGCCCTGGGTTTTTGCAGGGATCCCTGGAAGATGCCAGACAGAGGACTCCATGTTATTTGGCTTGCAGGCACGCCACGGCAGCGTACGTAACGTCGACGGGGAGGGTGACGAGAAGAGTTTCGAGTAAAACACCAGAGTCAAGTTGAATAAGTTCAACTTTCTCGAGTGGGCTCGCTTTTATTTGCGTTTTTACGCAAGATATGTGAGAGGGTTTGTGTTGGGAAGCGTTTTCTTCATTACGACACTTTGCTGTGCCAAGAAAATACAAGACTGAGCTGGGTGAACGTGGCACAGTGATATCGTTTATTTATGGCAGACATTATTTTATTAACTGGTTAAGTATTAGTAATTATCAGTTGTGCCAATTTAGTTTCAGGAGCATCTGGTTGTCACACATATTCTCCACTATAGTAAATCATATTTTTATTAAACACAAAACAGATTATCCCTCGCTATGAGACAACCACAGCTGTATTTAGTTAGTCAATTAGTTTGTGTCACATAATTTCCTAAATGTTGGAAATCAATAAACGCCTCAATACTGGTTATTACCTGGTCCTCTGGCGCCCTCTAATGGCGGTAGATGGGACTGTGTGTTTGTACCATAAAGGTCACTTTCACCAGTGGTGGAAGAAGTACTAAAATAAATCCTTTACTTTACTAGGAATTCAAATACAAAAGTTTGACTTGAGTAAAAGTACAAAAGGATTAGCGCTTTGCAGAATAAGTTCTATATTATTGAAAATGCTATCCATATATATGTATATAAACTAATTCTAATTGCCTCTATACAATGTCCTAAAAACAATAATAATAGACCATAATTTATTTGTACATTATATTTTGTATTAGTAATCTGAATGTGCAATGTAACTACTTACTAAAGTCATCAGATAAAGTCTAATATTTGCCTCTGAACTACTGTGGAGTAGTAGAAGTATGAAGTAGTAGAAAGTACTTGGAAATATACTTACATAACAAATATTCAGACTTTTTATATAGTAAAGATAATATTTCCACGCTATAAAGACACATGAAAATGTCACTCCAGTAAAAGTATTATCAGCATCATTAAGTGTATTTAAAATATCACAAACAAAACTACTTGTTATAGTGAAGGGCCCATTTTAGTATACTACTGTATATTATAACTATATATTAGAACTTTATATATATATTATATATTATATAACTATTTTTGATTATTATTATTCATCATGCGAGGAAAGCAATAAGTTCAGTGGAAAAACATTGTGACAGTACAAACTTTATTTACCATAGTTCTACAACATGGAATTAATGACTAAAAAACTACCAGAACTAAAGTTCTTCCTCTTACATTTTAGTGTAAAATGTGTGTGAAGAGTTTTGATTTGGTGAGAAACAGTTTAACATCAGTTGTATTACTTCATATGTGCTTTTGCATCCATTTGCATTGACATTTAGGCAGCATTTTAAAAATGGTTGATGTAGAGTTATTATGTATTTCTGTATAGTTTAATCTAACAAATCATTCTATTTTAGATGCAGATATACTTTGTATGTTTTATTAACATTAATGTAAGTAATAACCTCTTAGGCTAAAATGCAGATAATAAAAGATCAAAAATAATCTTGTGTAATCATACACAGGTCACAGCGTTCAAAGGAAAATGGCAACAATCAGAAAATAACAATAAGACAAATATTTATTGTGTTAGGTTTTGGTTCAATGCTCCTCCGCTTGTCAAGTAGATCACTTTCATTTCTTGACCTCCTGAAAGGAAGGAAATTAAATATAAAATGGAATACATTAAACAGTTGTGCAGTGATGAGATAATTGTTATCATGGTTATATGGTTATTTACGGAATCCCTTTTAAAATTTTTATTAGATTTTATTGACAAAAATAGAATTTGGGTTGTATTTACAAACTATATACAGTATGATTGTTTTAAAATAAATTATAATATTGCACAGGTTACAGAGGGAGGTAGTGGCATATTGTAGAAATAAATAATAAATAATTAATTACACCGGACAAAAAATATGTTATACAGAAATGATTTCAATGGGCTATAAACAGGTCTAAGACTAAAGTGCATGTAAGAAATGATTTATGTATATATGTATGTGAGGACTATACAGGTAGGTCAAGCAAAAGAAAGTGACTAGTATTGTTGGTGAGTTATAAAGTCTGACAGCTGCTGGGATGAAGGACCTGCAGTAGCGCTCCTTCTTGCACTGAGGGTGGAGCAGTCTGTTGCTGAAGGAGCTGCACAGGGACCCCGCAGTCTCATGCAGGGGGTGAGAGGTGTCCTCATCTCACCACCCACCTCCTCTATGGGGTCTAGAGGGCAGTCCAGGACAGAACTAGCCCTCCTGACGCGACGTCCGGTCTTCCCTGTCCAGCTGGTGGCAGTAGTACTCTGTCAGCAGACTGCTGAGCTTCAGAGGACGTCTAGATTTGGCCTCCATCCCTAAATCAACGCTGTCCATGCCTCAGTTGACCTGAGCAGTGGTGAGCGGGGAGGGGCTGTCCAATAGGGTGAAGACTTGAGAGGTTACACTGTCCCAGCAGCCTTCAGGTCCCAGAATCTGAAAGCAGATATATCCAGGTCTTGGGCCAAAGTGAGCTGATGCAGGCCCCGATAATGCCCCGTAGTCTTGGAGAGGAGACCAGCCTCGATGCCCAGGAGGACAGGCATGAGGGCAACAGTGGTGCCATCAGAAGTCAGCACCACACCTTCCTCCTTCGCATCTTCAGTCACCCTGTGATGCACAGTCTTTCTAATGTAAACTGAGAGCAGCGTCTATTTCACGACTGCCAGAGTTGGCATCACCAAGGAAGTGCTGAATGAATGCATCATTAAGGCCAGCTGCTCTGCGGAGCCTCTTCAACACAGCCACTGGCTCTGACCCAGGGCCCCGTCTTCCACCTGCTTCATCGCCTTGATAAAGTCATCCATGTGACAGGAGAAGGAAGCTGGAGATGAGAACAGAAAACACATAATTGTCTCTTTAGCCCTACACAACCTTACCTTTCCACTAAGTCTGTATCCCAAAACAACTCCCACCATCATGGTACTTACAACGTCACACAAACTGAACTTATAAAGTGTTTTGATCAGATTTACTAGTGTGTTTGCAATCGTTACTAATGCAAATAAACCCCAGAAGCATCACAAATATTTAATAACCTTTCAATCAGGAAAATGTACATGAAGTTTTAAAGTAGAAAATGTTCCCTGTTACTATTATATATGAGATCATTAGATTATTATTGCTCATGCGTTAATGTAAAAGCAGGGTTTTACAGTTGTAGTTGGTTGAGGTCATTTTGAACAATTTTGTATAAGACTGCAACTAATGATTATTTTCATTATGGCTTCATCTGCTGATTATTTTATGAATTACCAGATTGATTGTTTGGTTTTTAAAATGTCCAAAGTGACACAATGATTGTTTTGTTCTACCAAATAGTCCAAACCTCAAAATTATAATAATTAAATTTAAAATTATTTAAGTAATTGGTCAAATTTGGTCCTTTGAGCCGGATGTGAGTGATCACTGTGGAGATTGAAGATAGAAGTGAAGCAACACCGTCAGTCGATACCCGACCCAGACGTCATAGACGTCCTCCAGTCTGGGCTACCTGTTAGGATATCTCGCTGCCTGCCATTGAGAGACTTCCACCAGCTGCTGTGTTCTCAACCCAGTGTGCCCATCGGATGCAGGAGCCCTACCACAGTTCCAAGAGGGTCACAGATATGACACTTTACATCCCCCGGCCCTTTGATCAGTTTCCAGCTACTGGTGCCCGTCCAAAGTATCCCCGGGAGTCCGTGTATTCAGGGCCCCAGCACCAAAGCAGCCCTGCTCCACTGTCTCTCCAATTAGCACCAGAGGCAACACCTGCAATACTCGAAGCACTGCGGCAGATCAGGGATGACAACCAGAGGCTTCAGTACACTGTGATTTAGATGCAAAGGCAGCTTAATGCAAGCAGAGAGAGGAAGTAATGGTTCTATGCTTCCTCCTCCACCTCCCTCCACCGCCCACTTGGGCAGCCACCAGTGCATGCTGTTGTCCTCAGCCCACCATGCCCAGCTCCACAGGCCATTGCTTACTATTCATCAGTGCCTGTGCTTGGAGCCTGTAAAGAAGAAGAGGAAGATAGTGATTGGCCACTCCCTCCCCCTCCAGTGCAACAAGATGACCTGGAACCTCAATCATCCCACTACCCACAGATCTAGTGGCAGGGCTGACAGCATGCCTCTAAAGGATGAGCCTGTGTCCTCAGGTCCTGCTGAGAGGTCACACCGTCCATTGGTTCATCTGCATGGATGAACTTATTTATTTTCTCACCTGCACCTAACCTAGCAGCAAATGAGGACTTCCACTCCTCTGGGCTCTCAACCCACCATCCCAGACTTCAGTAAGGGGGACCCACGTGAGTTTGCCATGCTAAAGGCCTCTTTAGAGAACCTTCTTCCTAAGGATGCCACTGAAAGGTTTGAATATCAGATCCTGGTAGACCACCTCAAATTCGAAGAAGCACTTCTCATTGCAGACTCGTATACAAACTCTACCCAGCCCTATACAGATACTACAGCTTGTTGACAGAGCACTATGGACAACCCCACCAGCTAGCACTAAGGTGCATCACAGACCTAATGGAGTCGCCTAACATCTGTAGCCACGACGCTTTCAAAAGATTTGCCCTCTGAGTAAGTGGGCATGTTTGACCAGCTAGGAGACAAAGGCCAGGTGGAGCTTCAGTGTGGATCCCACGTCACAAGGCTGATGTCCAAGCTACCAAGGACTCAAAGTCTGGGAAGCCGACTACAGTCCTCCATGGGACTGAGCAGATGTCAAGCGCCTTTGCTGTTCCAGCTGTCCCATTCACTTGTGCCAGTCCATCAGGTAAAGTCATCCCCATACTGTGCAGATGCCAAGCACTATCTGAACCAGTGCATTCCTTTCAGCCAGCTTACTATTGAGCAGTGGACTGCCTGGGTCAGGAATAACAGACGGTGCTGGCGTTGTGGCCACTCTCACTAGGCCACACAGTGCAGACTGAAGGCCAGGTGCAAGAGATGTGACTTCAGACATCTGGAGACTCTCCATGACCTCATCACCAAGCCAGCTATAGAAATCACCTCCTGCTTTGTGAGTACACCCAATGAAGTGCTATACATGGATAGGAAGTCAGGCTGCAGTCAGGTGCTCCTGAAGCTGACCAAAGTTGTGTTTCGTAATTGAAAGCAGGCCATGGAGACCTACATGGTATGGTTCAGAGCAGACTATGCTCCTTCCAGCTGCCGCAAAAGAGCTTAGTTTTAGCTCCTTTGCAGCAGCTCCTTTCCAAGGGGAACTAAAGCATCTTGCCTTGAGGACAGTGCGCCAGGATCTCAGAATGCATGGTATGTCTGTCTCCTTTTCTATTTCTCATGCCAGTCATCCCCAAAAGACTTTCAAGATCCAGAGAGCCTTAACTGCAGATCAGCTGTGGCTGGCAGAGCACCCCTAACCTGTCAAGATGCTCCAGCATGAATATAAGCATCTGAGAGACCTTCCCCAAGTTGAGCCAGTCAGTCTGGGATCCCCTGGAGGACCAAGCTGCCTTGAAAACAAGGTTGAGCTGGACCGTCCAGAGTTATCCGCCAGCATCTCTAACCACAGCAGTGTCTGCATATGGCCACACAGTCACCAACTAAGGAGCTCCTTTATCATGCAGAAGTTATGGCAGATGAACGTATTGCCCTACAGGAGTGAAAAGATGGTGACACATTTGAGGTAAGACCAAGAAGCCATGCCCCTGCTGGAAACCATAACAATGATGGTGGAGGTTGATGGAGTGCAGCGCCAGCCACTCCATTGCTGTGTGTGAAGAACATGCCCTGTCTCCATACCATCAAAGACGTTGTGTGGGCAAGCCCGTTGAGCTCCGAAAGATGCCTGATGAAAGACCCAGCAAAAGCAGCAGCCTTTGGGGCAGAGATCTTAAAATTGGAACAGGCTGGGTATATAAATAAGATAGCAGAGGAATAGCTGAGTAAGTCAGCCCGGCCTTGATTTATCCCTCACCACATGGTGGGCAACAAAAGGGAAAACAGGATTGTATTTAACTGCTCCATCACACATTAAGGTCATAACCTGAATGAGCTGCTACTACCAGGACCCACTCTGACTTCCAGTCTTCTAGGTTTCCTGAGATTTAGGGATTATGTCGTGGCCATCAGCAGTGACAATAAAGGTATTTTCCACCAGGTCAGGTTGCTGCCAGACGATAGGCCCCTGTTCCATTTCTTATGGAGGGACCTGCAGAGGGAGGCAGCACCCAACATCTATGAGTGGCACATCACTGTTGAGAGTGGCTTCCAAGCGTCAGCAGTCGATGCCATGGCTGGAGTTATGTGCTGCACTGACTGGTGCCTAGTTGGCAGTGCTGGTGCAGCACAAACTCAACAATATGGCTTCTGAAGATGTTGCTGCATAAGACTATTGGGAAGTTGAATGAGACCTGCTGAGACAAGCCCAGCTAGACTGCTTCACGGAGGACCTTCAGCAGCTCTCAGATAACAAACCTGTCCCCTCTACCATTTGTTTGATCAATTAGTCCCTGAATATGATGACCAGCTGAAATTGATCCGGTTTGGAGGAAGACTACATCGCAGTGACTTGCTGGACCAATCCAACTAATAGTGGCAGACCTACCCCCTGTCCATCTGCGACTGCTGAAACCCCCATTCTTCTCTACAGGCATGGATTGTTTGGGCCTTTCATGGTAAGAGTTGGACTTCGCAATGAGAAGGGTTGGGGTATAATATTTAAGTGCCTCGCTACTAGGGCTGTCCACATAGATGTTCTGAGTAATCTGGACCAGGATTCATTCCTTATGGCCCTCTGTTGATTAATATCACTCTCGGGAAAACCAACGCAGCTTCTATCGGATCAGGGCACAAATTTCAAAGGAGGTGACAGGAAGATTGGTGACTTATTCAAGGCTTTGCAGCCACTCTGCAGTCGGAACTAGCAAGGCAGACTGTAACAGAAGAGGTACTGTGCACGGTACTGATTGAGGTAGAAGGTATTCTGAACTCAAAGCCCCTAAGCTATGTATCCAGTAATGTCGCAGACCTGGACCCAGTAACACAGAACCTGCTCTTGATAGGTTGGACTGACCCATCGCTACCTCAGATGGTGTACCAGGACTCTGAACTGCTAAGCCATCGGCGCTGGAGACACACCCAGGTCCTGGCCGACCACTTCTGGAGGAACTTCGTTAGACACTACCTTCCAGCCCTGCAAACACGCACTAAATGGCCAGAAAATGTTTAGAGGCCGGTTGTTATGTTTGGTCAGCAGTATTTGCGGTGAAAGTGGATGAGACAAGAAAGTTGCAGCTGAAAATATACTGTAAAGAGTTTGCTACCCACAAGCCATGCATGTGTGCATTCAAAAACATGTAAGTAGAATTGTGTGATATATGTTTAATATGTTATAATATTTGACCTTAGGCTTCTGGTGTGAATATGTTTAGTTGCTAATTAGCTTATTTGGTATATTTTACCACTGTGCAGATGAAACATCATTCCAGTGAAGTCTTATTCGGTTGTCTTTCATTATGAAATATAATATAACAGTAATGCCGTCTCAGTGTATAATACATGTATCGCCATTACATCACACACACCTCAAAAAACTGGTGATAACATCAACAAATGTCATTACCTTCTGCATACGTGCTGACCAAGACCACCACAAGAGTGTGTTTCCAGCAGCCTTTATCCATCCTGAGGCGTGAATACCGTCAGCTCCAGGCTTCTAGTGTCTGTCACCTCATTGCCTCTCTCATTTATAGACGTTTACATGCAGAGTAAGTGGGTGGTTATGTAACACTTGTGGACATAAGATAGATACGCCTGCATTAAATCTGTTGGTAGCTTCCGTTGTTTTTTTTTTGACTGAATCAGGTCTCAAAGATGGATTTTATAAACCTGTTTTTCTTTTTCTCAGTAAACCTTGAAAATGGAGATACCTGCTTCTGAATATTTACTCCCTTTCAAACTCATTTGTCAAAACCCAGTTGTTGTGATTTGGATAACAATGCAACTACAAATACCAATGTATTCTTACAAGCGTCAGGTATGCTGTGACTGTCTTGACATGTCCAAGAAGGAGGATTAAAAGACTTAATGAAGGATGCCGCACCCTGGTGATGAAAGGCTGCAGAGTCTTGCACCCTTGACTGTGTGCTTATAACCCTCCTTATTAAAGGTTACCTGGAGCAGGCTGTTGTTGTTTTGTGTTAGTTTAGTGTTTTAGTTTTAGTTTTTACTTATTATAATATGGGGGTATTTGTCAAGGGCAAGATTGAAGTTCAGAATAGGTATAAACGCACTGACTCACAGTCATGTAGACATCCTAGTCTCAGTAAACATATGTTGTGTGTTGTGTTAATAAATTGGGCCAAATTGCCAAAGACTAAAACTACAGTACTTTGTTACTTTCTACCAGAGGGAATAAATATTCTGACCTTTTACGTAAGTTATTATAACTAACTATTTCTGATTATTATTATTTAATAAGTTCAGTGAAATAACATTGTAACAGTACAAACTTTATTTACCACAGTTCTACAACATTGAATTAATGACAAAAAAACTACCAGAACTAAAGTTCTTCGTCTTACATTTTAGTGTAAAATGTGTGTGAAGAGTTTTGATTTGGTGAGGAACAGTTTAACATCAGTTGTATTATTTCATATTTGCTTTCATTTGCTATATAGTGACATTAATCTTTACTGATAAAATAACACTCATATAAATGTCATGTCAGTCAGTCCTACTGATGTATTGACATTTAGGCAACATTCTAAAGATGGTTGATGTAGAGTTATTATGTATTTCTGTATAGTTTAATCTAACAAATCATTCTATTTTAGATGCAGATATACTTTGTATGTTTTATTAACATTAATGTAAGTAATAACCTCTTAGGCTAAAATGCAGATAATTAAAGATCAAAAATAATCTTGTGTAATCATACAATTACATTTCCTGTAACACAGGTCACAGCGTTCAAAGGAAAATGGTAACAATCAGAAAATAACAATAAGACAAATATTTATTGTGTTCAGCTTTGGTTCATCCAATGCTCATCAGCTTGTCAAGTAGACCATTTTCATTTCTTGACCTCCTGAAAGGAAGAAAATTAAATATAAAATAAAATACATTAAACAGTTCTGCAGTGATGAGATAAAAGTGCCAATACAACAATGTAAAAGTACAAGTAAAGATCCAGCATTAAAAATCCTACTTAAGGAATAGAACAGTACAGTATTATCAGCAAAAAGTAAACGTACATGTGACTCATGACTCATATTATTATATTATTACACTGTGAGTTGATACTGATACATCAAGGTGTAATTGGCTTATTATTGTTGTAGCAGCTCAAAGTGGAACTGCTTTATATACAGGTAGAAAATATGAGGGGTCATAAGATGGTTAATGGTCTAATCTTTGCTTTGGGGGAATTTTGACCCCTTTGAGCCTCAAATAGTTATTTTTTTTAATGAAACCTGAGAAGTTTAGAGGGGAAATCTGTCTTTGGTGGAACAGCTAACAACTCAAAGAAGATAACAGAAGTACAGGATAACTATAAGCCAAAAATACTGTAAGATTTACTGTTATATATAATATTATATAACATTTGGAAGTTCTTGAAAAATAACAAGCAATGAATAATAAATGTCACTACGGTTAATATCACTTCTGCTGATGTCATGGTCAGTAGTTCTTAGTCTGAGAGGAACATGGTTATTTATGGAAGCCCTGAAAGAAAAGTTTAAATATTTTTTCCACCTTTTTTCACAGATTAAGAAAATATTTTAAACTTAAAAAAATTATCTTAAAATAAGATTTTTTTCACCTTAATGTCACTTCCCTTTCAGGGCTTTCGTAGTTTTTTGACTGAATCAGTTCCAGAAGATCAATTTTATAAACCTGTTTCAGCTTTTCTCAGTAAACCTTTTACAAGCATCAGTTATGCCGTGGCTGTCTTAACATGTCCAAAAAGGAGGTTTGAAAGACATAATGAAGGTTGCCGCACCCTGATGAAGAAAGGCTGCAGAGTCTTGCACCCTTGCCTCAGTGCTTATAACCCTCCTTATTCTGTTTTGTCAATGCATCTGGGGCATTAAAGGCAACCTGGAGCCGGCTACACCAGTTCTGTTGTGGATATTCAAGCTTTGTTTCCTATCAGCTCACCCATGTCTTCCATACCCCTATAACACCTGTCAATATGTCATGTGCTCATATGTACATACCCCAAAGTGTTTCCAGCCTCTGATCTCATTATAGAAAGCGTCTCCAGGACAGGAAGTGTTCACCACCTGTCGGTGCCCCTGCAGAGTGAAGTTGGCCACCAGTCGCCCGCCACTGACAGCGCAGGTTGCCAGCTTATCTCTCACCAGCCCCATGGAATGCTGGGAGGGCAGAGTCGCCATGTAGTCTCCGATGAAGGAAACACCGTAGCCTATGGAGTTGTGTCCAAGGGTGTGGGCTCCTCGGGTGTGCCAGCCTCGACCCTCGTAGATGTACCCGTCAGAGCCTGCGACAAAGCTTTGGCAGCACAGAGAATCCAAGATACTGTAAGTTTGGTGCAAAATGTCATATGTGTAAAAGAGCTAACTGCTGACTGCTCTTACCTGTATCCTATGTCGTCCCAACCTCTGTCCTCCTGGTGGAAGCGCTGCATGGAGCGCATGTCTGCAGAGCACTGCTGGAAGGTCAGACAGGGCTTGCTCGGTGTGTGAGTGTGGTGGATGTACAGGAAGGAGAGAGGAAGAGAAAGGTTGGTTGGGTTTCCTCTGTACGGCTCTGCACCCCACATACAGCGGGGTATGATGGGTGGGCACTCTGAAACAGATTAACAATGAAGCAACAGAGCTGGTTAGTGTATGTCAGTGGAATTAAGCAGCAATCAATTATTCTCAATTTGAAAGACAATCATTTCAGAATTCTTTCACTTCCTCTGAGGTTTGATCTTGTGCTCACCGATGTACTTCTGGACAAACTCTCTCATTCCCTCTTTCACCATAGGCCTCAGTTGCCTCACCCTCATCAATCGACGGCCCACCAACTTCCGCATCAGCTCTTGTGATTTCAACACCTGTCTGATCAGCACTGGACGGCTAACCAGCCCTCTGAAGTTCTCCCTGCGGCGCCGGCTGATGAGGCGTGGAGCGACGTCCAGTCCTTCCCTGTCCAGCTGGTGGCAGTAGTACTCTGTCAGCAGACTGCTGAGCTTGAGAGGATGTCTGGATTTGGCTTCCATCCCTAGAACAATGCCGTCCATGCCTCCGTTGACCTGAGCAGTGGTGACCAGAGAGGGGCTGTCCAAGAGGGTGAAGACTTGAGGAGAGGTTACACTGTCCCAGCAGCCGTCAGGTCCCAGAACCGGGGTGAGAGGAGAGCTGTGCCTGAAAGAAAGAGCCAGGTCTTTGGCCAAAGTGAGCTGATGCAGGCCCTGATAACCCCCCTCAGTCTTGGAGAGGAGACCAGCCTCGATGCCCAAGAGGACAGGCATGAGGGCAACAGTGGTGCCATCAGAAGTCAGCACCACACCTTCCTCCTTCGCATCTTCAGTCACCCTGTGATGCACAGTCTTTCTAATGTAAACTGAGAGGGCAGCATCTATTTCAGGACCACCAGAGTTGGCATCACCAAGGAAGTGCTGAATGAATGCATCATTAAGGCCAGCTGCTCTGCGGAGCCTCTTCAACACAGCCACCGGATCTGACCCAGGGTCCCCGTCTTCCACCTGCTTCACCGCCTTGATGAAGTCATCCATGTGACAGGAGAAGGAAGCTGGAGACAAGCACAGAAAACACATAATTGTCTCTTCAGTCCTACACAACCTTACCTTTCAACTCAGTTTGTATCCCAAAACAACTCCCACCATCATGGTACTTACGACGTCACACAAACTGAACTTATAAAGTGTTTTGATCGTATTTACTAGTGTGTTTGCAACCGTTACTTGTTCAAATAAACCCCAGAAGCATCAGAAATGTTTAATAACTTCAGGAAAATGTACATGAAGTTTTAAAGTCGTGGTTCAGTCTTTATAGTTTGTCTTATTTTGTAGTTCATGTGTATTTCCTGTTTGAGTTTGTACCTACCTCTCCCTCTCCTTTCAGATCCCTTCACTTCCTGCCTTTATGTGTTTCCGGCCTGTTGTAATTTTTTAGCCCCGCCCTAATCACCCGCACCTGTCCCTGATTACCCCCACACCAGTGTAGTATATAGTTCCTGTTCTCCCTCCTGTGCCAGTTTGTCTTTGTCTGTATAGTGACCCAGCATTCTCATGTTGTTTGCCTTTTTAAAGTGGTTTTAAAGTAAATGATTATCAAAATAGTTGCCAATTAATTTTCTGTCAATTAATTGACAAATTGTACATTTTCATATGTTTTATCTGCCAAATGTGTAAAGTAACCAGTAACTAAAGTCAAATAAATGTAGGGAATTAAAAAATATAATATTTCCGTAATGTAATATCCCTCTAGAATGTAGTATTAGATTAAAGTACAGTAATTGAATGTATGCAGTTGGATTTCACCACTGTGCAAATAAAAAATGGTTCCAGTGAAGTCTTATTCGGTTGTCTTTCAGTATGAGATACAGTAAAACAGTACTCCTGTCTCAGTGTATACTCTGGATAATATAATGATAATAACAATAATAATAATAGTAATAATAATAATAATAATAATAATAATAATAATGTTCTATTATAGTGAAGCTTCACATAATTTCAGTATGTTAAAAAAAAGAGGTCTGAAATATGATTTTTCAGATTGTGCAGAATTCCTTAAATGTGTTTTAAGCACTTTATTACTGAATACTCTAATTAACCTCTACAGTTGCATGTGTTGAGTCCTTAATTCAGGTATTTGTACAGGTGTGACAATGGATGTAACGCATTAAAAGTACAGTGGGCCCACAGAGGGTAAATATGGGCCCAGATTTTACTGCTACACCATTAGATCCACACAGGCTGACGTTATAGCGGCAGAAGATTTATAAGCCTATATGAGCTCATACATAAACGAAAAGTAAACATTTTAGCTATTGTTTATGCTCAACACAATAAAAAGTGTTCATTGAAAGAGTGAAAGTTGCCAAGTAGATACACAATTATAAAGAATCTCAACTGAAAAAAGTCAATACAGTTTCTTCCACTCCAAATAATATTGACCTGTATACGTGTATCGCCATCACATCCCAAACACCTCACAAAACTGGTGATAATATAAACAAATGTCATTACCTTCTGCAAACGTGCTGACCAAGACCACCACAAGAGCCACAAGGGTGTGTTTCCAGCAGCCTTTATCCATCCTGAGGCGTGAATACCGTCAGCTCCAGGCTTCTAGTGTCTGTCACCTCATTGCCTCTCTAATTTATAGACGTTCACATGCAAAGTAAGTGGGTGGTTATGTAACATTTGTGGACATAAGGTAGATACGCCTGCGTTAAATCTGTTGGTGTGGCCCACGAAGCAATGTGGGAAACTGGCACCTGTGATGTGGGCAGCGTAGAGTCGTTTGTCCTTAGCGCTCAAGGTCTTACCGTACACAACACACACACACTGTCGATTTGACTGAGCTGGGCATTCTCAAGAAATTCTCAAGTTCTGTAATAAATCTCAGTCATCTTGTTGGTGTCGTTAATGTGGCTGGTGCTTGTGAAACAAACCTTCTGGGAATAATATCAGTAGCTAACTCTTCTTCACTGTACAAACCACTGGCAGTCCTCTCTGAAGCAATAAGCACAATCATTAATGTTCAGAAAACACAAAAAGACAAGCTGCAAAACTGAGGAAGTCCCACAGCCATGAATCATGTGTGTGCTCTGTGGCAGAAATACATCTGTACACGGATTTATTCATAACTAATTTTAGTTTTTGCTTTATATGTGCATGCTGACACTGACAAAAATGCAGCTCTGTGCTACAGTACGTGCATTAACTATTGAGAACAATAGTCACAGATCAGTTTTTACAGCAGCCACATAATGACAAGAACAGGAAGTGGATATAGTCTATGTGTGAACTGGAAAATACATTGCAAGAGGTCTGGGGTGTGAACAAAGGTCAAAGATATAAATCTGTGATTACGGTAATCGGTAATAATAATAACACCCTGCAGAGAAAAGGTGAGTTCATGAGACTAAAATGAAATCATACAAAATAAACATTTATACAGTTATTGAGGGTGGGGCACACTTGACCAAGTAGGACATTACAGTAGAAACTAAAGTTGAATAGAGCTGACATTTTGACTCGTCACACACAGGTGTAATTAATAACATTAGTAACTGTTACCTAATTTTATGACAAGTCACAATAAAAATAGTCTGTACATTTGATTCATTTGGAAAAAATCATACAAAATAAAGATGCTGAAGGTCTACTTCCAATAGATATTGTGGGTTTTGTTTTCTGCAAAGTTTGACAGAAACTCATGAGACATGCAGTTGATGTTCTCCACTAGTTTCTCCCAACATATAACTTTTTCACAGCAGCCATTGTGATATAAAATAGTAGGGTAAACACAGGTGTTACCAGTGATACTAATTAAGGTTCTGTTCCATTTAGTGCACAATACCAGCAACCTGACTCTGTTTGACCTGAATTGTCGAGGGGGCATGAAGTTTTTCAGCTGCCAAAAGTTTGGGGAACTGCCAAACTGTTACATGTTGGCATTATTTGTTGGTGAATGTGCAGTGCACTTGTTTGTGCACATTATTCATTATTATTATTTATTTTAAGGTGATTTTTATTTATTTTATTTTATTTTATTTTGCCAGGGACAAGGGATAGGAATGACCCAGTCGGCTGATTAACATTTCTTTTTTCTGCTGATCAATGGGAACTACAACAATTTAAACAGACAAAATAAATAAATAGAAATATAATAAAATAGATCAAATGTGGGTGTGGAGACTACTGTGGGTCATTAGAGGAACATGGATGGAGCTTGAATACAAAACAAATCATATCACAGCAGTAGAAAATTCCCGGTTTTCTTTATTCAACAAACTTAGAAAGACTGTACATGTAGAAAACTGTATATGCTGTATATATTGTCTATATTTTATAAATCTTGTCCATATGTATCAGAGTTTTAATTTTGTTTAATTTTGTAATTTTGTCAATTCAGTTCAGTTTCTGTTAGTTTCCAGAGTCTGTTGATGTTTAGTTTAAGTTTTGCTTTTATCAATTTCAGTATTATTTTTAGTTCTTATTACAATATGGGGGGTATTTGTCAAGGGCAAGACTGAAGTTCAGGTATTACAATACAAACACATCAGTCATGTAGACGTCCCGGTCTCAGTAAACATATGTACCAATGCCCCCTAATGCATGTTGGGTTAATAGATTGGGCCAAAGCCTAAAACTAAAGACATTATACTGTATATTCTTATTTTTAATTTAGCTAGTTTTGTGAATACACAATATCCAATCATTTCTAAAGTATATTGTTTTAGTTTTTAGTTTAGTTTTAGTTAACTATAACCAGTGTTGGGCAGTAAGGCATTACTACTAATTAAATTACTTTCCCCAGCAACTAGTAGTGTAACTAATTACTAACAAATGTCAGTAATAACATACAGTTACATCCCCCAACAAATAATTAGATGCAACCTTATTTTTATTGTCACCCCCCTACTGATTTGAAACAACAAATCCAACCCCATTCTTGGATTCACTTACAAAAGTAATATAACTGTAGTGTAACTAATCACTGTGGGCAGTATTACTTTTTAAAAGAGTAATGAGTAATAAATTACATTTTATGAGTGACTAGACCAACACTGACTACAATGAGCTCGGTGTGTATCCGCTGCACACTCCGGTACAGCAGGTGGCGCTGTGCGGTCTAAACACGAGTTCTCGCGAGAAATCAAAACACAAACGAGAAAGAAGAATAAGAAAAAGGAAGAGGACAGTAGCTGCTTTATCTCCAACAAGGTTCGTTTATCTACAGACAGACAGCTCGCTTATAGGAATCATAGACCACATGTTATAAACATTGTGTTTGTGTTTTTATAATGTTTGTGTTTCCACTGCCGGAGGGGCTCGCGTGCAGTTGTCTTCACAGGAAGTGCCAGTTAGCATCTGTGGCTAACAGCTAGCAGCTAACAGCTAGCAGCTAACTGGAGATCAGCTGTGTGTCTGAGAGGCTCAAACTGAGTGTAGTTTGTATTTGTTGTGTTATATTCAGTTACACACATTATGTCCCGTTAATTGAATGTATGGAGAACTGTCGAGAAGGAGTGGGCTGCCCTTTATTTATTCTGAATGACTCCCTTATGAATGGAAGTGAATATAATAATTATAATTGTTGCTCAAACTATTAGTCAGTGAACTGATTAGTAGATTAATTAGAGTGGAAAATTAATTGACACTTATATTCTTCTATGTTGAAGCTTTGTTTGACAATCAATAAGGTGATGCTACTTGGGGTTCTGGGAGATTGAGCTGGGGATTTATTTACTATTTTAAACCATTAATCTCAAACAGCACTGTGTGGCTGCAGCTCTCTGGTAGTTTAGACAGCCTGCAAAAAGACTTTATAATCTTAGAATTACAGGCCTGATTTCTGTATGTACATAATATAAACAATCATATTGTATCATATTTTTGACATTTAATGCGATTTCAATATGATTCACGATGAGTGGGAATAATAATTTTTGCATCAAAATGTAATTTTCATTGAAAAAAAATCATGATGGTTTGACGCACAAGATTTAAAGGCCAGAGCGTCTCTGCAGCACTACATTACTTCATTATAATGCTGTTTTCTTACACATTTTACCTTTATCAAAAGATTGCAGCTTCTGTGATTTGGCTATTGCACATGGCCATATTGTGATTTTAATAATACTTCCATTAATTGTGCAGCCCTGAATGTGACGCCTGGAGCCAGAGGCTTAAGTCACCACTGACTGGTGTTATTTGTATTCTGAAGCTAAAGGAATAGTTGGGGTTTCCTTGAATTGGGGTTGTACGTACATGAATTTGCACATATTTGTGTCAGTACATGTATATGTGCAGACATGTGTGCTATAGATCAGGTTTTAATTTCCATCAATAAATGCTCAACAGCAGAAAAACTCTTGTTTAAAAACTAACTCTACATGCTTCCAGTTCTCTCCTGCTAGCTAACAACACTAACCAATTAGTAATTGAGTAGATACTAACCTGCGCTGTGGACTATCATCACTCTCCAACAGAAAATGGACACGCGGTTCACTCGAGGGAAATCCAACATCTTGGAGCGACCCCTGACCCGACCCAAGACTGAAGTCAGCGTGAGCGCTTTTGCCCTCCTGTTCTCAGAGATGGTCCAGTACTGTCAGAGCCGCGTGTACTCCGTGTCTGAGCTGCAGACACGCCTCGCAGACATGGGCCAGAGTGTGGGAGCCAGCATGCTGGACGTGCTGGTGCTGAGAGAGAAGAACGGGAAGAGGGAGACCAAAGTGCTGAACATGCTGCTCTTCATCAAGGTAAGATACCACAGATGGAGTTCAGTGTTGAGTAACCTTTTACTTTTTAACTCTAGCAGTTTTCTTTCCTTAGGTTAACGTCTGGAAGTCTCTGTTTGGGAAGGAGGCTGACAAACTGGAGCAGGCCAACGACGATGACAAGACTTATTACATCATAGAAAAGGAGCCACTCATCAATGCATACATCTCTGTGCCCAAGGAGAACAGCAGCTTAAACTGCGCCGCCTTCACCGCGGGCATCGTGGAGGCCATCCTCACACACAGCGGCTTCCCTGCCAAGGTCACTGCCCACTGGCACAAAGGCACCACACTAATGATAAAGTTTAACGAGTCAGTCATAGCCAGGGACAAGGCTTTGGATGGCAGATAAGGAAGACTGGTGAGAGTGCGAGGTTATGTTATTCAGTACAGGTTGAAGATAACTCATCCAGGTCCAGGCTGTAGTGTTTGTTCCTGACTGAATTTCCTTGTAGGGTGACTTTATGGATGGATGACTGCACCACACTGAGCCACGCCTAGAGAGGAAAAACGTGCAGCTAGTTGGTTTAATCTTTAATGTTTTTGTGGATCATCTCACTCCTGTTGCACCTCATCAAGTGACACAAAATTGTTCACTTTTGATTTGCAGTTTCACATTTTTAATTTAAAGATCATTCTTTAAAGATTAACATATTGAATAAAACGTTCTCCACATTATTTTGTTGTTTTCATCAGTAATTATCTGATTTTTAAGCCCAACAGGTCAACATATTTAATTAAATAACTTTAAAGATAATGTCACTGTGGGCCCTTGTGATGGCCCTTTACACAATTTTTTCCCTTTTTTTTTTAGACTAAACAATTTATTTAAAAAAAATAAGTAATTGTGAGGTGCAGGTTTCAACCTTTAGGGGAGCAGTGAAGAGGCAGAAAACAGGCAATGGGTCATTGGACTCATGCGCTGTAAGCATTCGGTTACCACGGTGATCTGGTTTTTATAATGTTAATAAAAATTTGTGTCATAGTATCTCAATGCAAAATATTTGATTTTTACAGAGAAAGGTCCAGACTCATGCGATTATTTCTCAAAGTTTCATTCCAGTTCAACTCCAGCTGCATGTTTCATCTCTGTAAAATAGATTCAGGGCCATATTTACCACTGAAGACACTGAGGTTATATGCTCACTATTTTTATTTTCATTTCTACTATTATTTTATTGTGTGTGTTTGTGTTTGTGTGCCTGTGGAGTATATTATGTTCTATGATTAAAAACGTAACTTACATTTTTTGTTTCATAAGCTGACACAAATACTTTTTGACTCAGATTTTGACAAATTTGGTTCTTTTTAAGCCAGGAACATTATAAATAAATAAAGGCTTCAGCGTCTGTCCGTCCCCAGACTTTTCTTCTTGGCTGCATGAAGAAGGCTTCAAGGAAACTTACAGAAATTATATTGACTCAATAAATTAAATATTAAAAAATCCAAATGAATAATGAAATAAAGAACTTTTTGGTTTCTTGTAAAAAAAAAAAAAAAAAAAAGGATGTGAGGGTGGCGGCTTCCTGTGATGCATTAACATGTAACTGCAATGTTTCCGGTTTGATTCCAGCTGGGGGTTTTTGTTGCATGACATCCTCTCATGTCCTGTCTGTAAAAAACAGTAATACTTCAATATTTTGGGAAATACGCTTATTTTCCAATTTTGCCACGCGTTAGATGAGAATACAACTCTCATGTCTGTACAGTAATTATTAAGCTACAGCCAGCAGCCAGTTAGCTTAGCTTAGCATAAAGACTGGAAACAGAGGGAAACCATTAGCCTGGCTCTATACGAAGGTAACAAAATCCACCTCCAGCAGCTTGTTTGTTTATCTGTACAAAAGCTGAATTCTGGTGACTGGTTTTACTGGGAGTTATGGTCCAGTTTGCTCCCGCCTCCAGTCTTTATGCTAAGCTAAGTCAAGTGGCTGCTGGCTGTAAATTCATATTTTGTTCAGACATGAGCGTCAGCCTCCTCGTCTAAGACTTCCTCTGCAGTCGGATTAGCAACTGAATACGCGAGAATGACGACAGACGCATTTTGAATATATATCTATAAGGAGAAGTTCTTAAAATAGCTAAAGCCGATGGATTCAGACATTTCATTTCACCTCTTTTGCTCTCCTCATAGACTGTTTACCTGCATGAAACCAAAGCCGGCTCAAATGTGATTGGTCAATACTACTCGGACTTCGAACAGAAAAAAGAATCTTTTCAATGGCAAACTTTGATATCTGGTTATTAAGATTTGCAACAAAGCAAGGATACTTCCCAAAATGTTGAACTATTCCTTTACTAGAGGGGCGTTGGGGGACACATGCCCCCAGTTTATCTAAAATCCTGGCTACGGCCCTGCTCATAATGTGTTTATTGTGCTGGTTATTATTGATGACAATGTTTATTTGTCTGTAAATATTAAACTGTAAAACAAAATAAAATAAATTTGCGAAATGACCCATGAGTCTGACTCATTACCATAACAACGGTGTCCAGGCACAGTCTAACACTGGCTGCAGATTTGACAGGATGAAGATGAAGGGCGCTTCACGGTACAGCTCATGCTCGTGAGTCACGTGATGGAGTCACATGCTTTCCAGGAAGCTGGGATGTGTTTACCTATGTGTCATCATCCATACACTGCGACACCGAGCATCCCTTATGTGTGATGAAGTAATCCAACATGAAGCCAGTCACCGCTCGCTCTCTGTGCCGATAATGTCTCCCATCTGCCCCCGCGTGATCGTGTGAGCTTCTCCATGGCATCTTCAAGTTACACCTGCATCCAAGACAGCGCCACAGGTTTGTCTGTTCACCATTCATTCCTGTGTGTGTCTCTGGCTCCATGGCGACAGTGGACCTGTGTGTGTGTCTGTGTGTGTTTATTTCTCTACATGTATACATGCATACAGCTGTTTGTTTTTATGAGGCGACGTTGATGTGATTTACATCGGGTGTGACTAAAGGAAGTGCTCAGTACTGATCATCAATGTTAGACTGGCCTGCTGCATCCTATTTTTACTTGTTAAGCAGGTCCCAGTTGAACCGGTTATCCTCAGGCTCATGACAATGAATGATTCCCATGTACAGGTGAATCAGAGCTTAAAGGGGCACTATATTGATTTAACTTCAGTTTGTCTTCAGATTGGCAGGGTTGGGAGGGTTACTTTAAAAATGTAATCCCATACAGTCGACCTGTTTAAACAGTCAGTAACCTAGTCCAAGTATCACAATATTAGAGTAGTGTAACTTGATTACTTTGGGAGTAGCTCAATAACAAGTTTGTAAATAAAGACAAGATAAAATAAATAATGTGTATATGTATGTGTAATAAGACGACAGAAACCTCCGAAAAATAAAGTGGAAACCAAGATTTTTAGCAAAATTAAAAATGTGTCCTCTGCTGATTGTATTTTTTTTTTTTTTTAAAGAAAACTGGTATAATTGTAATCCTGCTAATAATCCTATTTTTTACTAAATGTATTCTGATTACAATTTATTTCATTAACTGCAATGAATTACAGTTTTTCGTGTATCCTGACATAACTCATTTACATCTAAGCTGTTACTCCACAAGCCTGCAGATCGGGCTTGAAAACGTTAAATATTTTGCAACACAAGCATGTAGGAGGCAGATTATTTTCTCTGAACTGTTTGGTCTATAAAACATCTCAAAACAGTAAAAAACTGCCCACCCTAGAGCCCAGGGTGACGTCATCATGTTTTCTTTTGTCTGGCCAACAGTCCAAAACGCCCACAGATAATCTACTGTAATGTAAGATGAGGAGAAGTTGGAAATGTTTGACATTTTTACTTAAAAAATGACTTAAAATGATTAATCATTTATCAAAATAGCTGCAGATTAATTTTCTCCCAACCAAAAAATGTGTTCAATCAGTTGTTGTTGGGTTCAAATCTGACCTGGGCCCTTTGCTGCATGTCGTCCCCTCTTTCCTCCCTGCCTTTCCTGTCACTATAAACATTTCTTTCTTTCTTTGTATTTTCCAGAGAAGGACAAGCTCCTCTCCTCCGTGGCCAGCTATGGGTCCCGGGATCTTCTCAGGGCTGGCAGCCCCCGTCCCACCACTCTGGTGGGCTCCGAGCCCAACCAAAAGCAGGAGGAAGAGGAGGAGGAGGAGGCTCTGAGGAGGAAGCTCAAGTACTTTTTCATGAGCCCTTGTGACAAGTATCACGCCAAGGGCCGCAAGCCTTTTAAACTGGGCCTGCAGCTGCTCAAAATCATCATTGTGACTGTGCAGGTGGTTAAAGCTTCATACTATTTGACGCAAAGTACAAAATTACTTAAAGACATGATGGATGCTGGTGTCTGAGAACAGTCTGTTTGTTTTTAATACCTTTATTTTTGTTTTAGTGGAACACAAATGCACAGAAGGACTGAACAGACTTTAGAGTTTACAGTATAGCTCAAGTGTTCATAGTCGTTAGCTTTGTGCTAAGGGTTACTTTCCTATTAGTCCCAGGAATAAAGAGAGGCATACAAAGATAACACCAACAAGGCATCAAGTAAGGATCACCTCCAATCCATCTAGTCCTCAAAGGGAATTAAAATGATTCGCAAATACACACAGACCACTGAGCAAATAAATCACAGAAAGAAATTAGGAAAGAATTATAAATGTGATATTACTGAGAGACCACATTCATAAAGTTATAAAGTATCTAGTGTTTCCTTTCTTTCTATGTAATATCCATATATTCCTATGTAATGCAAAATGTATCAGTACAAAGTCTTAGAGAAAAGGTCAATTTCTCCATATCATACATTTCCTGTATAATTGCCGTCCATTTGCCTTTTCTTGGTGATTCCAGCCATTGTTTAGTTAATGCTTATTTTGCTAGCTGCAAATTATACTTTAAGGGGGTACTTGTCCTGAGCGTTACATCCTAGCCTATTTTTATTTTTATTCTGTGCTAATTAAGTCATAACTTCTTATTCTGCAATTTTCTGTTGAAGCTCATTTGTTGCCTCTGCCTCTGCCTCTGCCTCTGCCTCTCAGTTGGTGCTGTTTGGACTGAGCAACCAGATGGTGGTGACATTTAAAGAGGAAAACACAGCTGCATTCAAACACCTTTTCCTGAAGGGTTATCAGGACAACGCTCCTCAGGCCGTCCACACTCAGAAGGAACTGTACAGCCACATCTACTTCGCCATAGAGCAGGTAGCCCAATAACAACTACAGGAGATGCTTAAAGGGTTGGTTCACCCAAATTACAGAAAAACATATTTTATTGTTATTGGTATAATAAGCCTCAAAACACAAAGTACAGCCGAGGCTAGATGTGTCATTCTGTTAAAGCAGCAACATGAACTTTCTGGCGGCCCCTGTGGACAAAAGCCGTAGTGTTTCTACCGCCTCATTTCATTGATTTCAAGGGGAATCTGACTCAGTGGCAGGTATGAAGAATAAGTATATAATCTTCTCACTGATGGTTTTGTTTGTTTATGTAAGTCATAGAAATGCATCAGTATTCAATTTAGACTGTTTCATAACCAATTAAAACTCGAACTTGAAGTGGGTTGCAATTTGTTTGAATGTAATTTTGCAATGCTGAGAGCACCACAAAATAAATTAATCTCCATCGTACTGGTGTGAGATAAAAAGTTTTGCAGGGCTAGATATTACTAGGGGTGAGGAACAAAGACATGTTTTCATTTTGTGATTTGGGTGAACTGACTCTTTCAAACGGTAGCATTTGGTCCTGATAAGAGTTTCGGTCTCACGTGGTTTACATGTTAATGGTTTTTTCACCTTGCAGAGAAGATGTGACACTGTTGTTCGGTATTTTCAGTATGCCTCCACTTCTCCACTTTCAGTACATGGCTCTACCTCAGATCTCACTGGGGCGGTATGCGTATGTGTTGGGCGTCGGTGTAAACGGAAGTGCGCTCTCCCTCTGCCAGAGGTACTACAGGAAGGGCACCATCGACCCCGTCAACGACACCTTTGACATTGATCCCCATATTGTTGCTGGTAGGATGACCTTTTATCTTTTAGATTTTTTTCTTGCATTTAGTAAATTAGTGCCTGGCTAATCAACATTATTCATTTAGTGCCAGTGTTTTCTTGGCCCTTAAGGAAATGACTGTGTCAGTGAGTCATTGTGTTGCTGCTCCACATACTCCACATAATGTCAAGAGGTGCCCTGCAACTGTGCCCTACTTACAAAGGCTGGAAATAGTTCCTATCACCAAAAAACACAACACTAAAGCTTTTTTTTCCATACACTTTAGTAGCAGCACACTATATCTCTGCCTTGGGAAATTAATTATTTGCATACACCTGCTGATTTGGCAGAGAAGACTTTTGGCAATGCACGACAAATGTAAAAAAAAAAATATACAAATAAAGATCTCCAAGGGGACAAGTCTGCATTAAGATGCTTTGAGGAAGCGTAGTTGAAGTCTACACTTCACGTGATGTGGAAAAAGATGCTTTTGTATGGTTTTAAACTTCCCCATGTGATTTTCTTGGTTCCTCTAAGGCTATTTTCTGATTTATTTTCAGATTGCATTGGACTGAATCCACCGACTTACAGTTCTGCTCCAGGAAACAGTGACTACAAGAATTTCACTCTCGAGTTTCATAAGTCAGATGATATTGTGTTTTGTTTTTTTTTAACATTAGAAATTTTAAAAAAGTGTTCTTTTTCTATTCACATTGAATTATCTGTGTCTCCAGGCTCATCAATGTAACAGTTGACTTCCAGCTGAAGGCGATCAACATTCAGACCATTATAAACAATGAAATCCCTGACTGCTACACCTTTGCTATCACTGTGAGCTGTCTCTTCTATTATTCCTATTTAAATGAATCTGCTGCATCACAGTGCAGTACAGATAGAAATCTGTCCTCAATTCAGCCACACTTAATCACAACTGCGAATTTGCAGTTTTTCCAAGTTGTATGTTAAAATGAGCAAAACATTCAGATAAGAGTTGAGATAAACTGACGGAGTTGTGTCAACATTTCCATACCCAGAGATTGTATATTTACTCTGGTTCCTTTTACTATCAGATCGTCATGGATAACAAGGCGCACAGTGGCAAAGTTAAGATCAATTTGCAAAACCAGGCCTCCATAAAAGAGTGTAAAGACCCCAATGTGTCTGGACATGGTGAGTAACTGGTGGCGGATGAGCTGCAATAGACAGATACTCATTCATCTGACTCTTAATATCAACTGTTATATCTGTCATTTTCTGCCTGCCTTTGATCCCTCTCACCTGGCTCCTCTTGTGTCAGCGGAGAGCTATGCACGGGAGTTCTTGGATGTGCTGGTGGCGATCGTCTGTCTGCTGTCCCTGGTGCTGTGTGGGCGCTCTATCCTCAGAGGCATCCTACTGCAGCACGTAAGACAGCAGACCAAACATTTCTGTATTTATGTTGTGAAAATGCTGTTTTACTTGGTGACAGTACTCTCCTTTCTGAATTCAGTCAGACTATGCATAGTATATTCTGTTGGTTTAAATACACAGAAATGAAGGTGCTATGTGGCGTTATAGTGATATATGATCATGTTCCATCTCTCTAAACAGGAGTATGTGCAGTTTTTCAAACACAAACTCGGCCGCGGTGTGAGTTGGGGAGACCGAATGGAGTTCATCAACGGTTGGTATATTCTGCTCATTGTCAGCGACATGTTCACCATCATTGGCAGCTTCATCAAAATTGGGATTGAGTCAAAGGTAAAAAGACACTTGGAAAAAGTATCATCTCCAGCTAAAGTGTAAACAGCTTTGCCGTACAGTTCTCAGTTTGTGGTAATTGATGACGTCACTGCTGTGATGCAGAATTTGTCATCCTATGACATGTGCGGGATCCTGCTGGGAACCTCTACACTGCTGGTGTGGGTGGGAGTCATCCGCTACCTCAGCTTCTTTCAGAAATACAATGTAAGGACACATGCGCACACACACAACACACACACACACACACACACACACACAAATAAATATCATGTAAAGGTCATGTCTTCCTCTTTGTCTTGTGTGTCTGGATCCCTACTCTTCAATAAATATATTTAGCTCATTCCCTTCCTCTTTCTTTATCTCACAGATCTTGATTGTGACTCTAAGAGCTGCTTTTCCGAACGTCATCCGCTTCTGCTGCTGTGCAGCTGCCATTTATATGGGATATTGCTTCTGTGGCTGGATTGTGCTCGGGCCCTATCATACTAAGGTACTGTATGCACACACTGCAGTGTCTCTAACCAGGAATGAGCTGGCATGAGTCATTCAGACCACAAGTACATGTCAGAACAGCCTAATTATCATAAAATGCCCTCCAGCATATTATCTTTGTAGCTATGTATAATTGATGAAAAAAGAAAATTAACATCTATTAAATATGAATCATGACAACACTGTGTGGATATATTGTTTTTGCTTGCAATGTTGGTGTACTGTGTTCTGGTAGAAAGAGGGCAATCTTACAAATAGCAGCTTCAAAATATTTCAAATATGCAAAAATTAAACAAATACACACCACTATAAAATTTTTGTAAAGGTTCAATTTCATAAAGAACCATGCAGTTTAAAGCCTTGCAGCAAATTAAAGGGGTACTGTGGCTTTGTGTTATTCCATTTCCAGAAAGTTGGGTGACTCAGAAAAGACATTTAATGTGTCTCTTGTGAGTCAAAATGAGTCAAAATTAAAGCAGCAGAGGCCTAGAAATCCTGACTTTTAGTCTCTAGTAGAGACCATGTTAAAATTTTCTTATAACATCACCAGTGTTATTTTCTAAATCTTAGAAACAGCAACAAAGACATTATACATCTGTTTTTTACAGGCTGAGTGGTTGTGAACTGAACTTAACTTGTAAAATCGATGGGAGCGCCCCTTTGAAAGGAATAGTTGAACATTTTGAGAAATACTTTTATTTGCTTTCTTTTTGGACGAGGTTGGCTAGCTGTTTCCTCATTTCTAGTCTTAAAGTAAGCTTACCCAACCGGCTAGACTTCATATGGTAGCAACTCTGGGTAGTCGATTACCATAGTTGTCTAAATGACTGGTGAGTCAGTCTCTGCTACTGCCAACCTGGCCCTTTATTATAACAGAGAGTTACACTTAACTGGGGCAGTTAGAGCTTGTACACAAAACCAACAAACAGGAGATCTAGCCTCCTCTCCAGCTATCAACTCTATTGGCACTGTGGGCCACATGAGGAACAACCAAAAACAGAAGTAGAAGTCTTATATGTATATATAACCTTGCACTAGAGGTGCATCTTAATTCTACCTGGAACCAATAAGGGTATTTCCCAAAATGTCAAACTGTTCTTCTAGCTTGTGGAAAAATGTTCTCACCTCAGTGTCATTGCCTCATTTAAATGCTGCATTAATATCTTGTGCCTTGATTTCACTAATGTGTGTTTTGTTGTTATTTTTATGCACTCCGTGTATACAGTTTCGCTCCCTGTCCACGGTCTCAGAGTGCCTGTTCTCTCTGATCAATGGAGACGACATGTTTGTAACGTTTGCTGAGATGGAGAAAAGTGGCACACTGGTGTGGATCTTCAGCCAGGTGTACCTTTACACCTTTATCTCCCTCTTCATCTACATGGTTCTGTCCCTCTTCATCGCACTCATCACCGGAGCCTACGACTCCATTATGGTATGGTTTCATCAGTTACTTTTTTCCAATCCTTAGCTTTATAATAAATATCAGCTGTACTAATGACTTCCATACATACAGAATCAGCATGTTAGCATTGTCATTGTAAGCATGTTAGAATGCTGATGTTAGCATTTAGCTCAAAGCTCCACTTTGCTTTGCCGCTTGCATGGCAGTAGACTCTAAGTCTGGTTAAAAAGTAAACAGTGCTTTTGTTCTGAACATTAGAAAGACAAGAATGACAACCTATGGAAAAATAGCTTTAGGTGAAGCATTGGAGAGTTTAAAAAAAAGCCTCCAAGTGCCATTAGGAGCAGTGCAAGGGTCCTTTTAGAATATCAAAAGATGATTTAATTTACAAAAATGAAGTCAAGTCCAATTACAATATATTAGATTTAGAAAAGCAGTGCCAGGACAAAGGCAGGCTATTCATGCATGTAGTTTCATTTTGTCAAACTCAAATCCACACAATGGCCAAGGGCTTTGACTTCGACATTTTATGTGACATGTAGCGCTCGTCATCAAATTCTGTCTTTTGTAATTTCCCTCCAAGAGCATGTATGGTCACACACAAACTCAATACAGAAACATGACTGTGATTCGGCGGTGAGATGAGCATGTCGAATATTTTCAGCTTTACATTGTCTTCCCACAGGCCCAAACACAGGAGCAGTTACGTGTCACTGATCTGCACGCCTTCATTGCACAGTGCATGGATACGCCCAGCTCTGGCAAGTTCCGTGGGCCTGAAGGGACGTCATGCTCCTTCCTCTGCTGCTGTGACTGAGGAGGAAGAGGAAGAGGAGGTGGAAGAGGGGGAGGAAGAAGAGGATGCACACAGGGAGTAAGCTGTGTCAGTGTGTGAGTGTGTCTCTGTGTGAAAGGGTAAGGGAGTCTTGATTTTTTTTTCTCTCTTTAAAGCACGATATTTCCACTCCAGTGAAAGCCGGCTGCAATTGCACTCCTTTTTCCAGATACCCAGCAGGGGCGATAAATGCCTCGAGAGTGAACAGACTGACCTTGGACCACGTTGTCCTCTGTAGCCTGTGTTTGAATTTTGCATTTAAATTTGTGCTGGAACGGTAGAATGCACTCCACAGTCACAAGCCCAATTACCTGCTTCGGCTTTTGTACTGTATGAATAATTTATTGTCTCTTTCTGAAATGTCAGTTTGTTAGGGCTTTGATGACAAGACGCATAATGCCAGGAAACATATTCGTTGTTGTAGACTGGACACCGGGTCCACTATGTATAATAGATTCAAATTTTCACTTGAATGATCCTCTATGTACAGGGTTTTATTATCATTTTATCGTCCACGCGGCTACCTAGGTGATTTTGTGCCTCTTGATTATGTAAATATGTATGAATCATCATATCAGGTAGAAAAGACACAGGAGACAGCTAGGCAAGCTTAAAAAAAAAAGATCATTACCTACTGTATGTATACATTAGCTTTTCAGTCAAGGCTGTTTCTCCACTCCTGTTTTCATTCTCCACTCCTCCCCTTGGTTCATGTTCTCCTCTGAGAGAGATGATGGCTCCATGAGGAAGGACGAGGCCTGCAGCCAACCAATTAGTCATCAATATGCATGAACTGTTTCTGCCGTAAAGACCCAGGTGACTGCGCAGGCTAATGCACTGCGAGGCAGAGCCTTTTTACTTTTGATTTAAAGTGCTCCCTGCAAGGCTGCAAAAAAGGTTTGACAAAGAAACATTGCAATAATTAAATCTTGACGAAACAGACAGAATTTTTGCAATGTTGCATGGGTGTAAAAAAAAAAAAGCAGTCTTGGTGATTTTTAAACATCCTGATCAAAAGAGAAGATAGGATCGAACTCATCTGCTTGGACATGCACAGGCAGCTGAGTATCAAGCTGCAATAGCAGTGGACAAATTTGGCCAAGAGGTGAAATATGAAGTAAGAAAAGCAGAGGGCCCACAACAGAACTCTGAGGTACTCCTTATTTCACACCAGAAAATGTTGTTGTAGTATTGTTATAAGAAATACACTGTGTTCTGTCAGATAGGTCAGACTTTAACCACAGGAGAGCCAAGCCAGAGATGGAGGATCATTTAAAACTTGAGTGACCAGCCCTGAAAGCAGATTGAAAAAGTTCAAAAACATTAACTATTTTGGCCGAGACACAACTCTTTCTTTTATTTTTGAAAAGCATGGAAGGTAGATAATTACTCAGAATATGTGTGTAACTCAACGACAAGAAGAAAAGGTCCAGTTTTTTTTTACTTTTGGGTTTCAATCTCCTGCTGGCTCGCTTAAGAGAACCTCTTTGACTTTCTTGTTTTGGTAAAAGAGGTGCAACTGAATCCAGGAGACTAGAGAGGGCTTTTTTTAAGTCACTGGTACAATTTTAACAATACCTGTCGCTGCAGTGAAAAGGGCCGGGACCACAAGCAATCACTAAAGTTGAAGGACCAGTGTGGCCTGTGGTAAATACATCAGCAACAACAACAACAACAAAGGACAAGCTAGCGTTTCCAAAGATGTTGGGAATATCAAAATTAATTTTTCAATTCCAGGAAACAGGAAAACGTGGGTAAATAGCTGTTATCTATAGCTATCTCACCAGCTAGCCTTAACTAGCTGTCCCTGCAGTTTGGTTTTTATCACTTTGTTTGTAGTTTTTGTGGATTTTCCATCCTGTTTTTTTTCCTCACAGAAAATTACGCATTTCTAGGATGTAATCATTTTTATGGTAAGATGTCAAAAAGTCAGATGCCGGTCTTAAGTCAATTTTGATTAAACATGTAGTTACTGTGTTTTGGCTTTGTACTGTAAGGTAGTATGTAGGCAGCTTAGAGAGTTGTGTCTGTATTTTATATAACGTGTCAGACTCAGACACTGTCAGTGCACTGACATTGAAACCATGTTTCAAAGGGAAATGGCTCTTTTTTTTTTTTTTTTTATCTGTGAACAAGCTAGGGGATCTCTACAAACCAGCACTTCTTAAATTACTCTTTGTAAAGAAAAATTTACATTTGGAATATCACTATTGCTATAGAAACTTACTGAAGTGGTAATGTCATTCCATTATGCTGCGTGGAGGCATTTGAAGGTCACTGTTTAATGGAAGAGAATGTTCACTGCACAAAATATGTATCAAGATTAAAGGGTACTTTTTTTTATTGCTCACTGACATGCTAACTTAAATTAATCAATATTGTTTACGGTCACAACCACATGTGTTTTCTTTAATGAATGTTTTTTTACACTTACTGATTTGCACTTAATGAAGACTTACTGTATGTACAGTTTCAATTTATTTAAATGTGTCACATGGGAGCCATATAGCACAATGGAGCAAAGCACTGTGTATGTAATGCATCTGTTAGTGTTCTCCTGACACTTATGGGAAGGTTATTTAATACCACTTTGATTTAATGGTAACAGTGTTATTGCTCTTTACATTTGTTTCCTTATATTTTGCATGCTGTCTTAATTATTTTACCTCATTCTGAGAAGAAGCAAGTAATGGCTAAAATGGAGTTTCTCAGTGTCTGTATAGGAGGAACTTTACAGGTTTTTAACCTCATTTGTATTGAATCTTTTCTGTGAAGATGCCGCCTAAATGAAAGTAAATGTCTGCATAATAAACTGCAAAGACTCAAAGAAAGTGTGTCAATATTGTTGAGATAATTAGTGTTTTATATGTTTTCTGTCCCATGTTGGTCAAGTTTTCCTGATGCAGTGTTCAATAATCTGCAATATTATCAATACAATAGCAAGTCACAGTGTTATTGAGATAAGCATCGTATTCAGGGGGTGACCAAAGATATGTCATCTGGGCACAATGAATGTAAATGTACAGATTTGTGCCAATACATGTTGAGACATTTCATTGTCACACTCTGACCTGCTGGTGGCGCTAGAGGAAAGTCAAGGGATACCAAAGTCAGTAGGCTTCATCCTCTGAGGACCATCAATGTCTGTACAAAATGTCATAGCAATCCATCTAATAGTTGCAGAAATATTTCAGTCTGATTTATGCTAAATCATTCTATAATCATATAAGAATGAACCTAATAATACTTTTAATATGAAAATGAGAATTAAGAAATAACTGCAATTCCATAGTGTAGTGCCAGAAAGACTGAAAAACGTGGGATGTGGGAGTTACTGACTGTATATACATTTATAATGAGTTGTAATATATAGGGCCTGTCAAATTGTACTCTATACATAGGTATATATAAGATAGAAATATATTTTTAAAAATGAGATAAAACACAAAGCTATAATTGCATGAAGCTGAGACCTAAGTGTGTTGTGGCTGTCTGACACCACTAGAGGGAGAGAGCAGGCTCTTTCTGCAGCCACCAACCAACCAATACAATCCAGTAGCAATAAAGAAATAACGGGAGGCTGAAACATAGGTACTTTAAGGAAGAAATAAGTGGTTTGTTGCCTTCCTTAAAGGTAAAAAGTGCTGAGAGTAAAGTAAAGTACTTAATGTTCAAGTCTGCCATTATCACAAACTACATCTCAACACAAGGTAAATGGATGTAGAGTCAGCCAAAGAAAATGCACTGAAGATGCAAATGGACACAAAAATGAGAAAGCCTACGGGACAGGCAAAGATCAAGGCAGCTATGTGCACACTCACTCCTCTTAGTGCGGTGAAGTGGTATGGCTGTCCAATATCCTTAGTATCTGCATGCATTATTTACTCAAGGATGCTACCAGGCCTGAGACTAAGCACTTAGAATGAGACTGACAGGAACTGGCCAGCCTCCTCTGAACATTATCAGGTTTCAGGGTAAAGCTGATTAAACAGTCGGACAGAGAAAACATACAGTAGGTCAGACGCTTGCAGCCACGTTCACATGGGAACTCAGAGATGCATCCTTGATTAAATGATTTATTAAAGAGAATAAAAACCAGCATGAATCTGAATCCTGTGGTTCTTCGTGTGCATTTGCATTAAGCTCATCATCATAGCATACAATGCCTGGCCCACACACTGCAGAACGTAGATGATATATGATAACAATCCATTAAAGAGGTTCACTCAGGCTCTTCTTTGTTGTCCATGCAACGTTCTTCTTCACGTGTTGCCCGTCAGTGAGTGTGGTAGCATCTTGCATGTTAATGATATGCTGTGCTGGCATGTTGTGCTCTTCAGGGAGTCCATGCAGCAGCTGCGCCCGCCTGTGCTAACCTGTATCTGCCTGGTATTCACTGACACACACACCCATTTGTAAGGTAATAATATTAGTGTTATTAGAGTGTGACATGTTATGCAGGGTAATAACTCTTGTGCATTTGGAAGCCACCTGTGTTGAAAGGGGTTTAATTTGTGAATATCTCTATGAAAAGATGGCGACTGTGTCTGATGTGATGGGTGTGTCTCTCAGTGCCGGCTGCTTTCTTGTGTGGCTTGGCTGACTAGCACGAGATACAGACCTCTGTGCAATCTGACTGTACACGAAACATAACAAGAGCAAGCCTGTATCTGTTTAAACAACTAATGTGTTGTGTAAGAGTTTGTCAAAGGTAGCAGACCCCTGACTGGAGGCCAGGTTTTTTTGGGGCTTGACCGAGCGCCAGCCCTTTTGTGCTACGGCTGCCCCAGCTGGACCGTGGGCCGGGGGGAAAAAACAATGAGATAAATAACACGGGAACTGTGCAGCGGGGTACACAGCCCTGCCCCTTCCTGTCTCCGCTGCCGCACACTACTGCCTGTGTGAAAAAAAAAAACACCTTCCTCTCTTTGTTGCGCCGGGTTGACCATGCCAATACGTCCATCAGTATCAGGCCGGCAGGCATCGAACCCCCGCCGGAGTCCCCACCCTCTTCCTGGTCTCCTTCCATGTCTTTCATATGCTTGCACACACACCTGCATGCACACTGTTTAATCACATGTTCACACAATGATTTCCACACACAGCCACAGTATGTGGAAGCCATTTTCAGCAACATTCAGTCTGAGCAACTATTTGAATAAATGGATTAATGTTGCAAATATTTCTGTGGGTATGACTTGACCTTCAGTTATGATTCAACAGCAAGACAAGTGGTATTGTTGAACAGAACATAACTCTGAGCAATAAGTGATGGGAGGTGCAACCCTGCAAGCTAGTGGGTTGATCCTCTTCAGAGAAACACAAACAAAACTTGCTCTGGAAATCTGACAGAGAAAGATAAAGTGAGATCAAGAGATAACATGTTTTTTTATGCAGTGAGGCACACGTGTAGTGTACGGTTTAGACTTTTGTGCCATTTATTTCCACTATGAGCTCAAACAAGCATCTCTAGGGCCAAATCTCCCTCTCCGAGACTTGGAAAGAGAAGAGTGCACCACGGGCTCAACATGAAAAGAAACCCATCCAGAACAGCAGTACACAAAAGCCTGGCTCATGTAGACAGGGGCGGGTGGCTGCCGGGAGCTGAGCAGCAGCGCAGCAGACAGACAGACAGGCAGACAGGCGGCATGCCCACCCAGACTGTCTCTGATGAAAAGCCCTGTTTTGGTGAGCAGCATGGCACACAGAAACAAAAGCTTGTAAGCCATGAAACAACGCCCTCCGATGTCTGATTGTGACTGAGAGAAAACACGCAACTTAACCAAAAGGAAGGCACACTATATCTGCTGCTCCAAGCTGTCTTCGTTTCTTGCTGGTGACTTCACCCTTTTCGATTCTTTTCTTCCAATTCCAGCTCTGTTCACTGCAGCATGAGCACTCGCAGGCAGGTGCACATGTTCAGCTGCATCCACTCATGGCCATCTTTAAAAGGACTGTCGCTTGCAGGAAATGTGAATTTTAAGATAAAGAAAGATATAAAATGTGCAATATTATGTACATCCTAATTTGGAATTAACTTGTCTGGGATTAATTTGTTACAGGCAGAATCCATTAAAATAATCTTAACTACAATTTTACAATCAACAGGTCTGAAATGTGCTGAGAGATTTAAAATTCTCAATGCAACAGTCACAGTGAAGGCAGACAATGCCGGCAACTTGATGCATGTAGGACAGCAGTAATGCACCGTTAAAGTGTGTGTGTGTGTGTGTGTGTGTGTGTGTGTGTGTGTGTGTGTGTGTGCAGTCGGGCATGGAAAAAGGAAGAAAAGGGTTTGAAGAGGAGAGAAAAGGGGGTGCAGGGGCCTAAGAGGGAGGGCAACAGACAACCGGGAGGAACTCGGGCAAGAGAGTAGGGTGACTTGCAAGAGGTGACATCATCCTTAATTTGAATAATCCCCCAGCCTGGGAGGTGATTGGCTGTGCTTAGAAAAAGCAGAGTCCCCCTGCTATTCGCTATTCACCCCTTTCAATTTCAGCATGGCGCGCTGTCGTGGTGAATGCTGCCTTCAAGGACTCATAGTAACCTCCTATTTCTGAGGTTGGAAGTTGTAAAAGACTGTTTTATTAACTGTGAAATAAAAACAAATTTACTTTGTTAGCCGTAGTGTCATTTACAGTAAGGGGAGTTATTCTGTGCCATCTGTACAATGTAAGGCAGTGACCAAATAAAAATACTCAATAATCAAATGTTTTCTTTTCATGTGGTGTAAGGAGGTGCCAGGCATCTCCACCACACCAGACATTACAAACCAAACAACCATTCCGCTCTCTGTTGATTTTCTTTCCCCTAAGCAGACCTAATTAGCATTATGTAAATTATAGCAGTATTTGCCTATTTGAATGGTTGCTACTCAGTTGATATTTGTTTTTAGTTTGTTTTTCAAAACACTGTCACACTGAGCAGCCTGGCCAGGTGGATCCTGACTCCATACAAAGACATTTCTAATTCTTCGGTCAAATAGGTGTAACTGAGCATTATTTAATAATTGCTGCAGTCCATTTAGGGATGCCAGTACTTGTGGGCATGACTGGAATTAATCTGCTATGGATCCCCGATTAACTGTTCTCTCCCTTAATATTTCACTGGATATTGTGCTTTAAAGGTCCAGTGTGTAACATTTAGGAGGATCTATTGGCAGAAATGGAATATAATAATCATAGATATGTTTTCATTTGTATATAATCGCCAGAAAATAAGAATTGTTGTTTTTGTTATCTTAGACTGAGCCGTTTTTATCCACGTCTCCGGAGTCGGCCAAGTCTGCCATGTTTGCTGTCTATATTCTCCATTAATCGTTTGGTCTGTGAAATGTTAAGTGTTTATTATATGTCTGTGTTTTGGCTGGACCAGTAACTTCCTGCAGCGGTTGGCTGGCAACTAAGAAATAGTATACAGCACAAAATCACCATACAAACGTTAAACGGTCGTTTTTACACTTGGTTATTGTACAGATTCGACAAAAGAGATACGACATGTTAACAAACCTTTTTTTATACAGCAGGCATTTTGACATGAATTAGTTGTGTAAACCCAAGCTTTACCAGTGATACTAATAAAAGTCAGGGTGCTGATATTATAAATGTTAGCTCACTGGAGAGGTTCTTCTACACTGAATGAATTCTAGTCAAAATGGCTGCCGTGGAAAAGGCATATTAGTGAGCTTTACAGATGCTGATAAGTGGATTTTGCTTTATTCATGTCATTACGCTAGGCTAAGCTAACTAAGGCTATGGGCTCTTGCTTCATATTTAGCTTGAGATTTAACTTCCAAGTATGACAATGGTAGTACTCTCTTCATCTAGCTATA